CTTAACCGAAAGGAGGCCCACTATTGGACTGGACTTGCCCAGCTCCTATTATTTTTTGTTTACCATTCGCTGCTGCTGATCCTCCTTTACTTTACCTAATCTTTGCACTGCCTCTTATAAATGCAATAAATGGAGCCGCTTAGCTCAATGAGTGCACCAGAAACGATGAAAAGAGCCAACCGATGAGAAACTACTAACGCCTTGCCGATGCGAGCTGCGAAGGGCCCAACATGGACGGTGGGAACTAGCGCCTGCCAAAGAATCAATTTATGATTGCGGGTTGCGTCGGGGTTCGTGACTGCGGGGGAAGCGAGGCAGGCAAACAATCCTCGTCTTCAATTATGGAGAGGATTAAGAACGGTTTTCCGTGGAATTCGCCCGGCCATCTTCCCAAAAATGGTGGATTCGATACAACTGCATTATTCCTCGTTCCTCGAAAAATGTATTTTCCCGTTCGAAGACCATCACGTTGAAGAACCGGTTTTGATCGGCTTTGAACGCTGGTCCAACGGGAACGATTTATTCGTTCCAGCTTTCACTAGAGGGACAGTCCCAAGCAGTTACTAAAATAGAATAAATTTCGTGCGGGGAACGGAACTAAAATTGGTTTGATGTGACGGAACGATATGCTCTTTGTTTAAATTTAAATAGAATTTAAAGTAAACCTACTCAATTTTAGTGCAGTTCCACGATACTTATTAAGTAGTACATATTCACTCGTATTTACTGCGTCACTGATTTACTACAGTATAACTCAGTCGCCACAGCATCGAAGGGATCGGATAAAAATCCTCGTCGTTGCCGAGATTCCACACAACCGCGATATTTCGGTTATACCGTAATTTATCGTTCGATAAAACGATTGAGTTCTGCGAGACGAACTTACCGACGGTGTAATGCCCCCTCGCGTAGTTGTTGGCCGCGTCCTCCTTCCCCGTGAGGAGCCACCGAGGATGGAAGAGCTGGCGGTACGTGCCGGTCTTGATCTCGTCGACGACGGTGGGCTCGAGGTCGACGAAGAGGGCGCGGGGGACGTGCTTGCCCGAGGGGGTCTCGGAGAAGAACGTGTTGTAGGAGTCGGTCTCGATGCCGGCGGTCGAGTCGGCCGGGAGGAGGCCGTCGGGTTGGATCCCGTGCTCGAGGCAGTAGAGTTCCCAACAGGCGTTGCCCATCTGGACGCCGGCTTGGCCTACGTGGATGCTGATGCATTCCCTCTGTTCGGGTGAGGGAGGGGGGGAGGGGGGGGGGGGAAGGAGTATGCATAAGACTATTAAGACCATTTTTATCCTCTTTCTTTAGAGAGGGGGGTTAATTTTTCGGATGAAAATTGGTTTTGCCTTCTCCGAAAATAGCCGAAATATTCCACTTTCGTCGCCAGCGACTAATTATGTTAAGGAAGGAGCTATTTTGGGGTCTTTTTCATATTGATGTCATTTGGATGTCTCAAATCGCAGAGACAGTATATATCTGCAACTTACAGTCTATCTCATTCCGTTTCGAAGCTCCGGATGGGTCAAGACAGTAATTGGGTCAAGACAGTAATTGCCTATCAATGGATAATGAGACCAGAACCCCTCTCATGCAATCGTCATTTAGGCCCAATTACGTCGAACGAGATCCCCGCCGCGGAGGAGGACTCCACGACGCGGTGAGGAGGCAATACCCCTCCAGTTCCTTCTCGTGACAATGCCACAAAAAAGGGATAAATCGTGAATCCGGCCTGAATGGTGATCCCACCGGATAACCAGCTTCCCCCCCCCCCCCCTCCAGGACACAAATTGGGACTATCAGCCGTAAGACATCCGGGTTGAATCACCGGACGGTTTAATGAAATTTTCAACTCCTGTCTATCTGGATGGCATCGGCACATTATTAATTTAGTGTTCAACCTTTTACNCGTCTTAACAGAGATTCGAATCCCAGAAATTTCGTCGACGAGCGAGGGAACCATCACGCTATGATGTAGAAAGAAGCCCAAGTAGCGCTAAGGTGGTGGACCACCAACTACGTTTGGGGAAGAGAGTTGGTGGCCCATCACCTTGACTAGGTTGTAGGCCCCCAGCCGCATGTCCCACTTGCCAGTAGTGGCCCGCCATCTTCCGGGCCGCTTAAGGGCCAGCACATTACCAGTTAGCTCGTTTGTGGTGTACCATCAGCTGGAAAGGGTCTTCATATATTCATCTGAACTATATATAAATCTTGACTCTGGAACCTACTCAGAAGAGAACTCCAGAGTACCAAGATGACGAACTGCTCCCCTCTGCCATATCCGATATAGATCTCTGCACGGGGATAGCAGAAGTTTACGATTACTAGAATGTATCATATGTAGAACATGACAAGAAATTCTGTTCTTTTTTTTTTTTTAAAAGAATAGGAGCTAATGGAGGGACTGGCCCCTCTTCCTGATGGTGGGTACATCAGGGGTCCCACCAGTCCTGGTGAAACCCTCCTGCGAGCGGGCTGGCAGGTGCAAGACCCCCTCGAAGCTGATTTAGACAATGGGAATGGTCCCCATTGTCCCGGTCGGAGACCGAGGTTTCTCCCGTCTGTTTTACAGATTACTCATTAGTTAGGGCAGTTGCAACAGCAGCCTAGAAAAAGATTCAGATTAGAATTCGTTTAACTTTTAAAGAATGAAAACACGTTGGGGCTATTTTATACCCACTTTTAATGATTATTAAATCCTATCCATTTAGCAATAGCATTTACATAAGTTTTAGGTACCTATCAGGTGCCCCGTAAACTACTTGGGATTGGCAGGTGCCAGCTGTTAAAAAAAACATTATCAGGCTCCCTGCTTGTCCCAACAGATAGAGATTAATTTCTGCTTACTCTACCCTCCCCTAGTCCTGTACACTTTTGAATTCCCATACATAACTTCAGCATTTAATAAGTCCCCGAATCTTATATTGCAATCAAAACATCATAATTCCACGATTTCCTAGTACTTGCTTGTAAATTGCACATTAAAAAAAAGAAAAACGAAGAATAAACACTTTTGCTAAATCAGAAAGGCAGGTACTTCATTGCATTTGTAGAGTGCAGGGAACTGGGGTACCATCTAGTGGGGACTCTTGGTACTGCATCTAGGGGGTTGCCAGTTACATTCTCCACCCGGAACTGGTGGAGAATGTGGTCCTCCTACCTACAATAGGTAGTAGGCCAGCGACTGCATGTCCAACTTACCGGAATTTTCCCGCCCCCGGCAGAAATCCGCCAGTGTAGTGCCTGGGCCGCTTATGGCCCACTACTTTTGCGCTACTTGGGAGTACTCGTATGATTTTGACATTTCATGGTGGTATTTGACTCATTTAATTTAAGAGAAAATTGCATGCGTCGCTTTTGCAGGCTGATTTCTTCATAAATGGAGGCCAACTATCAAGTTCATATAGAGGGAAAAGTCTTCGGAAAGATTCAGAAAAAGCCAATGAACCGTTTGAATCTAGTGAGATTCGCTCGAGTAAGAACGAAAAAAAAATTTTTGAAAAAATTTGTGAAACAGATGGCTGATCCGTTTCGAAAGGGATTTTACTGTTGCGTCGATCTCGTCCATGACGATGGGATGATCCATATCCAGGGCCAGATTAACCCATAGGCCCTCCACTCCATTTTTTTTTCAATATGTAATTCATACTCAGGCCCTTCCGTCCCATTAGCCTAAGGCTCCTCATAATTTTAATCCGGCCCAGTTCATATCCCGGCGATCGGATTCGTAGAGACTGGGGTGTCCGTCGCGGCGATCGGCACTGAAAACGGCAGGAGTTGAATCTTTGAAGAGTCACAGATTTGATTGAACGACTGGCGAGCGCCGTTAGAGGCGTCAAGTGAGAGAAAATATAATCGGGGGGAAGAACCTCCCAGATCGAGTTTGACGAATTTCCCCCAGGATTTTGGAATGCTAAGATTATGAACGAATTCTCTGCGAGTCTTTCCCCTTCTCTCTGGTGGAAACCTGTAACGTTTAGGCCTACCAGGGGATGGAGGCTGCTGCAGCGGATGCCACGAGAGACAAAAGTCGAGAGGCGAGATAACGATCAAAGGCAGACAGCGATTTTTTCTGTCAGAGGACGCACGGTTGTCAGATGCGGTGTTTACGCATTCTCTTATTTATATTGAATTCTTTTTCTCCAGGCGGGTTCATGATTAGTCTGGTCTTACTTCCTAAAAGCATCGCAGGAGACTAAGGCAATACGATTAAGACAACTATCATACTAAGAAATCTTGAAAATGACACCAGCAATCCCAAGCAATTCATATATTTCAACACTGGACGTTGGCTCCACCCTCTGCCCATCATCCCTCGTGGCATCGACTGGTAAGGCGACTGCGGAATGCACCCGGGGAGGCACTCCGCGTGTGGGATGGGTCAAGTAAGACTGGCCCCCTTGGCCTTCTCCGTCTCTTGTTCTCGAGAGTCCGTTCTCATTCGCTCATAATGATATCGTGAAAATCGGTTTCCATCTCTTCCCTTACGACGCCAGTCGTCAGAAATCGTCGAAATTTAAGATGCCTCCGCATAACCTACTGTTGTCGATTCAGCCGCTGTGACTATGGGCTCATCCATGTATCCAACGAGTTCGCAAGAATTCCTTTCTGAAAATAGGAGAAATCAACATGCCTGAGGCGAAGGTGATCATCTTCGCATGAATCTTTGGGAGAAAAATAGAATTCCCTACAATTGAATCTTCAATGTGGAGTACAGTCCTCATGTCTGTACAAAGATTTCACATGTGGTTGACACTAGAACTCCCTCTATTCCCAAAATAGGCCTGCAATGGGCGCATTGTGAGTTTCTCAATGAGGATGCTTATAATTTGGCCTATCTCAAGTTTTTCCAATTTACTTGACGTCTGTTGACAGATTGCCTCCGAAACCCAAATGGGAACTTTTCAGTTGCAAGCCAATTCAAACTGTTTCAGAAGACATGCAAGAGTTTATAGTGCATTCTGTTAATAAAGAATTTTAAAGCATGAGAAAAAATTGCATCTGCCTGGAGTGTGAAAAAGACAGTAGTCTTTACTTCCAGAATACCCAAGTTCCACATGATTAACATCTGACTTTTGCAATTCAATGCACTTGAGTTGCATTTAGGGCTTCCAAAGCCGGAGCAGCCCATCTTCGCTGTATGTTCCGATCAGGTTCTGATGGGGGTGATGGGAGATCCCAATCACATCTTTTTCATGAACCTGGAAGCACAAAAAATTCAAATTTTTTATGCTGGGGAGGTATTTTAAGGATCTGCATGAAGATGAATCTTTGCATACCGTGAGGGTTCTTTCCAGCTTCCCCGAGGAGATGGAGAAGCAATAGAGCACGAGATCCTCACCGACACAGTAGATCCACTCTCCCCTGGGCGAGAGGGTGCAGCAGACGAAGTCTCCTCCTTCGCGCTTACCGCTCGAGAAGGATCTCACGATCTGAGAAAAATATCAGAACAGCTTAAAAACAAAAAGCAATGATCAATGTAATTCTCTTGGTCACTCTGGTTACCATCTGGTTGCTACTGGCTCTGACTGCCAAACAGTTTTTTCAACAGTTTTTGATGATACTTTAGATACTCCCAGAGGATATTTGTCATAGTTTGTATATGTAGAACAATACCTTTCCATCATAAAATGCCAAGCAATGAATCTTTCAAATATTTCTGCATTCCAAGGCATGATGTAAGTATCATAATTCCTTTCATTATATTTCCTCTTACAGCAAGGATATACTTTGAAATACTGTTGGTACACAGACTGAGAAAAAATAGACAAAAAGGAATAAAGATGAGACCTGTCCCTGCATATTCATGATGACAACAGTGGGGGAGCGGTTGCAGACAATGAAGTGCTCTGGGTTCTTGGGGATAGGAATCACAGAGTTCACAGTTGTTTCCCCTCCACTCCCACCCAGGGACTTGAGCGTGTTCACACATTCAGTGCTCTTCACACTCCACACCTTCACTGTCCCGTCTGAAGATGCACTGAGGATGTGATGCCCATCAGAGCTGAACATCACGTCGTTCACAAACGAAGTGTGACCCCGGAATTCCTTCAGTGTCTTTCCAGACTTCAGGCCATGAATCCTGTTATGATGATAGAACTCATTTTAAATAAAAAGAAAAATAATCCATGTTTATATTGTCCCTCTAAATGAATGATCTGGACTTGCTCTGGACAAGAATGCTAATTGTCAACTCTCACTTATCCAAACATCAGTAATCCAGAACTCCCATTAATTCATGCTAGAGGAATTGTCCTGGCAGACATTCCCTACAGTTAATACATAAAATCACTTGGATTTGAATGCCATCATCCCATAGCAGGCATCTCCTGCAGGTAATTTGCTGAATGCCAAGAGTGCTATTTTCTTCACCAAGAGGAAGTAAATATGAAGTAATTTTTTGAGGTTTTTTATGATCTGAATAAGCCATAAACCTGGGGGAAAAATTGCTGGCCTATGAGGCCTGGATTACCCAAAGGTGCCTGCAATTTTATGTTTTTTCTTCCATCTTGGAAAATAAATAATCTAACAGCAAATTGCAGAGTAACAATAGATGAAATAATCTAAGGCCTATTACCATCATTGAACTGGTTTTGGTTTCTGTACCAACCATAAGTGCCACACAATACAAGTGTGAAATCTTCATCCAATGCATGTTAATTTTTCTATCTACTCACTGGACTAAGTGGACAGAGTGAAAACTTATTTCTTTCTGAAGTATCAATTCCCAGTCATCAGCATGGAAAATTCATATCCACATTATTGAGCCAACCAAGATAGGAACCAAGATCTGCAAAAATTCAATGGTTTTCCATATTGAGTATTGAACTCATTCTTCAAACGAATATAAAAAGAATGAATCTTGCCTATAGATATCCATGCAGATACTATGCATTTTTTTAATTAGCATCAAACTATGAAGCTGTTCCAGAAACTAGTCACTGGGACAGTTGGCTGCTGATATTTTCCTCATGGAAAACATTGACATATGATATTCGTATTCGTATATTTATTATCCACTTCCAAATTAGGCAATACCATAAAATTCTGTAGTCATTTGTAGTAATGTGCCTCCAGAGGGATTTCCAGCACCTGAAAACTCCCTCTGGAGGCACTAAAGGATGTATGTGCTTCAAGAAATGCTTCTTTCTAATTTAACTCATTCCATTTCTTTTCTAAAAGGGTCAGTTTAAAAAAAAAAAATTCTTCTTCAGTTTCTAAAGCTTTAAAATATAAGCTTCAAATCTCCAGTTGGCATCACCTGATTGTCATATCAAAGGAAGCACTCAGCAGCTGGCTGTTCTCTCGGGAGAAGCATAAGCAAGTGATTCCCTTTGAATGGGCCTTCTCAAATCGCCGCAGGCATGCCCCTGTTTGGACCTTCCACACTTTGATCCTTCCTTCCTTACTTCCTGATGGATGAAAAGCAGGACCATTAATACCTCATTGTCAGGCATCAAAAACCAACAATATTGGGTTCTCACCCGATGCTAGCATCTCTGAGTCTCGGCTGAAGGCCAAACTCAGCACTGCTTCCTCCATCATCATGAAGTTGTCCTTTAAAAATCATGGAGGTAATGGCATCAAACCAGGTACATGTTGCAACATTTTTCCATGAAGAAAGGAAATCTCAAAAGAAAGCTACCTGAGCCTGATACTTGAGATCCTTTCGTATCTTGCCTGTGGTGAAGTTCCAAACTTCAATGAAGCCATCCACACTCCCAGTGATGAGATATTGACCATCAGGGGAGAAGCGTGCAACTTCTGGGTGTGATTTGGTTCCAAATTTGATCTGGCGGGACATTTGGGTTGGGCATTTCTCCTCCTCTTGCTCCCTTATGGCTGCTTTCCCTCTGAACAAATCGATAGTTGTTCCTGAGATGTGAAGAAAAGAAGAAATGATTAGCAATGTCCAGCAGCCAGTATGGATGTGAAAAAGCAATGCTCTCTAAAATCCTTGTCACCTTACAGGAGTAAATAATAAAATCATGTTCCTGCAGATAAGATCCCACCAAGAGACCACAAGAAGGCTCTCAAATGTTGCAAGTCTACTAAAGTATAACAGTTGCTATTCATTCATAATAGAATATTATTCCCTGTAATCCTTCATGGAATATTACAGAATTTCCTAAGTAATGAAATTTGAGAATGGGGTTAGAAAGGATCTCTTCATGGCCTACCAGGAGGGAGGAGACCCTGGTGCTGCTGCCACTTGAGAGCCTGGCCCAGCAGTGCCAGGAGACGTGAAGGTGGCACGACTGACACCTCCCCAGAAAGAGACTGAGCAATGGCAGTTCTTCTCCGCTCCTTTGTGCTACCATCTGAATATGCCTCTCGGGGATCAAAATAGGAGCGAGCCAACAAGTTCTCTGCAAATAAACAAAACAAGAAGAAAGAGAAGAAACATAAGAAGAATGTAAGAAACATACTGCATCAACAGCCACCTATTCAAAGGAAAGAGCATATCATGATCACAAAAATAGGTTGTAAAACCGACCTAGATGCAGATATCGATCTGGCTCTTGCTGCTTCATCATGATCATGGGATCGGTCTGACGAAGAAGACTTCTTGCAGCTCCCAGCTCACGTAACTCAATCAACTCCAGTACCACCTGTGAATAGAAGAACCAACAGCTCAGCTCAAGAAGGGAGAATACACAGACGATAAAAACAACACAGGAAGAGTTCCTCATACATGCATGTTGCATTATCCCACTTGCCTGTTCATAGAGATCAATCAGCTTTTTGTCTGGGAGCTTAAGAGACTGCACAGCTTTTAAGACACTGTCCCAGTGTCCGCTGCTGATATCTGCCACAAAGCTATCCACACTGTCCACTGTATTCAGAGATATAGATGTCTCCTCCTGAAATACAGAAGACCAAGTCAGATTAATTCAGCCACTTTGAGGAATTTTCATACATTGAATGATGCACAAGTTGCAGTCAAGAAGTACATAAGAATTAACACTCCTAGAGTTCGCCAAGGCTTCAAAATAAAGGTAATCATAGTAGACCTTAATGTAAGGTATAGTGACCAGATTTTTGGGGGGGAAAAACCAGGATGTCCTCAAGAAAGCACCAAAAATGTTATTCCTTGCAATGTGGAATAGCCAGGACACCAGAATGGAAAGGAAAATTTAAATAGGGACAAAGCTCGAAAAACTGGACAACTGGTCATTCTAACATGAGGACCAGTGCTGTACTGAGGACATTTGGTGCCCTGAATGAGATATCAATCCAGTGCCCCACCACAATACCAATTCAGCTTCCCCAGTACCATGTTAATATCTATGCTTAATTTAGTTAAATTCAGGATGATTTGCAATTTTTTCACGTTATACGCATATTTTGTTGTGATTTGGCAGTTAATGGTGCCCCCTCAAGTCAGCGCCTTGTGCAAGTGTGCCATTCGCAGCCCCATTGGAACGGCACAGATAAGAACATTAAGCATTTTGAATCACTCACCTGCAAAGTTTTTAGGGTGCGTGTGAGGTTATTCTCCTTCAGATACTGCTGGATGAGCCTGACCACACTGTCATAGATTCAAAGGAAAAGGAAGAAACAATCAGTGGTCCACAAGAGAACCCATGAATGCTTCCATAAGCCAGTAAGACTTAACATTCCGTATAATCCATGTGTGAACTTTAAAATAATAATTCTTAGCTTCTGTGACAGGCCTAATAGCGAACAAGTCAGGTAAATAAAGCAGGACCAACATTTTAGCCGGGACTAAGCCAAGAAAAAGTTATTTGTGAACGAAACTCACTCCGCAGATTCGATTTCAATGGCCATCCTTAGGAGATCCGGGAAGAAACGGCCCTAAAATAGTAACTCAATCGTTTGTGTCGGTTCAGAATCGCTCAGGCCCACCAACTGCAGGCCTCATAGAATCCTCTTTGCTACCAGAGACTATTACAGTCATGTGGGTCTCATGTGCAGCGACATACTAGCGAGAGACGCGCAAGCGATGCTGGATTTCCCTTACCCTACTTTCCATAGCGAATGCTGTTGCTATGCAATTATTTTCTTCTGAATGCAATACCGAGGAAGCCTAAGTTTTTTAAATGATTTTTTGCATTGATTTTAGTGTCTTTTCTTTTTCAAGTTCTTCAAAATCAGGGTATATGTCCTAAAAGCGCCGCTCAGAATCGCCGGAAATTTGGCATCAGTACGTAAACACAAGACGTTCCTGGAGTGCATGGCTGCGTACCGAGTGTGTATTCTCGGAAATTTGTGAGAATTTGGCATAGCTTTTTCTAATCATAAGAACTTGCTTCCCCAGCGTGATGGGGTTATCGGCATCTTACAGGACCCTCACCCTCCGTGGACGAGAAGGATGCTGAACCCTTGATCCCCATGTCAAGGAGCAGTGCCTCGTCGCTCGTTTCCTCCCCAACTTCCTCCGAAGAGTCTGGCTCTGCCGGACCCGCATTCAGGAATTTTTTCTCGAGGATGTCCGGCCTTTTTGGTTCTCGGTCAGGATCAGCCCCACCTTCGGATGGCATGAATCCAGGCGTTTCCTTCCATGGCCATAATTTGGCTAAGGAAGACTCAGCATCTTGTGGGAATCACTCTAACTGCCATGAAAACAGGGTAAGGGGGTTTTCCATGTTCTTTTCCTGTTATTTATGGTTTTAAAACCTCAGTTATTTTATTGGTTTCTATGCATTGCACCTTCCTCTGAGGATGGAATAGGATCACTGATGAAAATCTTATGTTTTCATCATGGACTATTTTGGGGTTGTGGATGCAACATTTTCTAATTACTTTCCTCAGTGTCCTGATGGTTTTATACTACAGAATCCTGAAGTAGACTCTTCTTGTGTGTTGTGAAAAACTTTTGCTTTATTTCAGGTGGACAATTCCCACCGACTAGTCCAGAAGATAGCATCTCTCTACGCCAACCAACTTCTGAGTGATATTACCTTGATAGTTGAAAGTAAACATTACTCAGCTCATCGCCTCATCCTATGCGCTTCCAGTGATGTGTTCCAGGTTAGTATGCTTTTATAATCTAAAATGATGGCATAGGTGACAAATTTTTGCTGGAATATTTTTAAATTCACAAAATATAAATAGTATGTTTTTATTATTGAGGTGGTAATGAGATGGGAGAAATCATATAATAGCTAAGATGGACAATTTTGGTATGTTTGAAGCATTCTACAGCTCTTGGGTCACAGTTGATAATGGATTCCCTTGCCTGTTTCATACTAGGTGATGTTGATGGATCCACGTTGGACTGAATCGCATCAGTCATCTATTATCTTGGAAGAAGATCCAGCCTGTGCTGCTGTATTCCCTGAATTTCTCTATTACCTCTATTCAGGGCAGGTTGTCCTGCAGCAGAATTCTGCTCTCCCTCTGCTTGCACTGGCAGACAAGTACAATGTCAGGGTAAGAGGTCTCACTGTCTCTTCCCATCTCTTTCCTGTTTCCTATGTCTCAATATGATTCAAGGTGTTTTTTTTTTGTTTTTTTTGGTGGACTCATTTTAGTTGCTCTAGGCATGACATTCTCGTAATTTTTTATGTGGTCCTATCTGGACATCTTCAAAGTAATATGGCATTCTATGCAGGACCTGAGAGAAGTTTGTCTCACCTACATGACTAATCACATAGTCGCAGCTGCATCCCATGGCCAGCTTGTTTCCTGGATCCAATACGCTTCATGGTCTGCTCATCCCAGTTTCTCTGAAGTAAGATTACTTTTGCCTAATTTTGCTTTCGTTCAACTCATGTACTGATTAATCCTGGGTTGTTTTTGACAGGTATGCCGCAACTTCATCAAATGGAACTTCCTGCTCATTTCTGAAGCAGATGACTTTGGGAGCATGGACAAAGACATGCTAGAATCATTTCTCAAGGATGATGAACTCATCATTCGAAATGAACTCACCCTTTACCAGTAAGCCCCTTGGTTTCATGGATATTTTCAGTCATAATGTGTTACAATAAATGATTTTATTACATTTGAAATTTTATGGTATTGAACTGTCAGCTTCACATTCCCACATGCCATGAAATTTTGAGACTTTCGATTGTAATAGCAAAATGGGTCCCATGGAACTGCATCATCTAACAATGTTTCTTTTTTCTTGTTAACAGCTGTGTGGTGAGGTGGTTACACCTGCAACGAGGAGGGAGGGAGGAGAGTCTCAAGGACCTGGATGTGGGACTCATCAAGAAGGTGATGATGTGCATCCGCTTCCCCATGATCAGCCCCAGGCAGTTGGCCGAGATGCTGCTCTACCCACTTGTCTCTCAGTTCAAGGAGTTCTTTGTTGAACGCCTTGCCGTTGGCATGGCTTTCCATTCAGGTTGGTACTCCCTTGACCAAGTCCATGTAATAATAGTGGGATTACTGGAAGGAGTACTTTCTTCATTTGCTTGGAGTAGAAGTAGTGTCATGTCTAGCATGAGCTCACTTGAACCAATTTTATCTCAGGAAAGACTTCTCTAAATGCTGTTTTTCCTGCAATATTAACTATGCATGGATCCATGCCAGTGACACTTGCATGCAATAAGGAAAACCATGGTGCTAACTGTCTCACAACTCAAAAGGACTTGCAGTCATTCTTCATTTGAAAGTTTCCCCCACAATGAAAAAATGAATCTTTCCCCACCACAAGTCTTGAGATGATGTTACAACTGTATGTTTCTTCCATCTGTGATTTATAATCTGAAGATGAAATATTAATTGGGAAGTCCAAAAAAGCCATTCTGCCCAACTCCAAGGCAAAATTTGCATACACCTTTTAACTTTGTAGGCCATAATATCAGCCAAGGAATCTTTGAGATACTATGGTAAAAACTGATGAGACATGAATGTATATGCCAATTCAGATTAAGGTTCTGAATATTGTAGTAACAGTTATGTTGGGCTGTCTTTACCATAGATTGAAAAGAAAAACTCCAAAATATGTGGGAAGTCAAGGTGGCTTATGGTTTTTGTTCTGTTCAGGAAGGTGGAAGTTCCCCAGTGTTCATTAATAATTCTCTCTTTATTTGGGCTTCATGATTTGCAAACTGTCACTGACAGTCCCTTTCCTCAGACCTGTGACAGTGCAGAATAACATACTGAATGGAGGTGTTTTGCTCCTCTCCTCTGTTCTGATTGGAAAATGAATTCCAAGAGCATTCATTATAGTCTAGCCTTTTCAGGATTTGTTAAATATAGACTGCCCTGTGCAGCACTGTCAATTGGAATGCCTTCAACCTTCCAATAACCACTTAAATGCAACCATGCTCATGCAACTTTTTAGAACAGTATATATTTTATCCACTTTTCCAAGCATCCTGTATGTGAGTAGGTTGTGACCAAAGCACTCATAGAGTTCTCTTTTCCTTCCTCCAGGTCAGCATGACCGAGTGGAAGAGGTGAAGGCAACGGAAGAGAATGGAGACACATTATTCCGACCTCGCCTGTACACTGAGGAGCGCTGGAGCACTGGGATCCAGATTGACGGCCTTGGAAGTCTCCCTTACTATTACACTCGTACACTGGTCTTTTCCAGTCAAGGAAGCCTGTGTGACTGTGATGAAGAGTCACAGATTCAACACGAGTGGACGGTGGACGTCCATCCAAAGGGAGTCTTGTTCCAACGGTTCCATCTCATCGTCTGGCAGGGGACGCTGGAAGTTCCAGAGCACATCATTCGTACCATCCGCCTCTCCATCACGGGGAAGAACATTCACAGGGCCAAAGTCAAAGTGAGTTCAATCCAAACTCACTTAAACAAGAACAAATAAAGATGTAGGATCTTCTGGTCTGTGGATACCAGCAGGACTTGATTATGGAAATTTCAAGCACTAAACTTTCAGATTTTCTTTTTATTTAAAAAATAAATGTTTAATGTACATCACAACATTAGTGGAAGAAATAATGTAATGAGTCAAGAGTTTTATGGATATGTTTAATTTTATTTTTCAAAATACCTCCATGAAAAGAGGGTTATTTTTTTCCAGAGTGACCTACTTCACAAAGCAGGAATATAAAAACCCCAGCTGGCATTCTCACACTGGAAGATCTGTTGAGCCTGCCAGAAGTTTTCAGTACTAATGCAGTTCTAGATAAAAAAGTTTTCTTCAGTAGGTCTGTGGAAATGTGGTTGCTACATTTGCAGTGGTAACTAAAACATTAAGTTCTGTTCTGGTGGCTGATTCCACATTTGAAGTTGTTGATGGGATGATCTCAGCTATACTACTTTTATCCAGTCTCTGTACTTCACCTATTGCATCAATATCTGATTTAGGTACAAAGCCAATGCCATATTGTATCAATAGGTATATCAACTTGTGATGATATGAATGAACCAAGTCTAGAAGTCTTAGATGTTGGTCTTGTAGTTGTCCAGCCAGTCTGCTCAGTGCCATGCATTATTTAAACTAGATTTTCCATAGCTAACTAGGATTCCTTGGGTTGCATTTGCAGGTTGGACTCCTTTTAACGGGAAGTCTAGGAGGTCGGGAACACGTGTGCAAAGTCCTCACCCGCCGTTTCACATTCAGCGATGAGGAAAGGGTCCTTCACTTCAATGACATCCTCCCGTTCGGTGAACTCTCATCCTTATCGAGTCCCTTCCTTGTTGGATCCCATCAAGATTCCTTTGCCTTGCGCATCGTCATCACTCCCATTTCGGATTCCTGACTTTCTTTCTTCGGTACTCCATTGTTCTTGGAGTCAGTGCATTATGATCTGTTCTGTGCCCCAAATTGCGGCCTACCCGGTTACTCATTTTTGGTCCAAGAGTTTTGTTTCACTTGAAAAAAAGCGTTGTTTCACTTGGAAGGGTTGCCCATATTTTCTCTGCACTTGGGATGTGATACAATTCTAGATATTTGCAATTTGGTTCAAAACCACAATGTATATGAGGTATATTCACATTATTTTCCATATTCTGTTTTATAAACCAGTAGAGAACACAGATGAGGGGCAGATGTTTCATGAAAGCTCTTTGGGAGGTGATTTTTATTCTAGGTTTGGCAGTGATGACCCCTTCTGCTGATAGCAATCAGAATTTTAACATGGCTTATCCTTTTTTTTTTTTCAATTTGCAGGGATTGGATCCCCAAGGAACACTAATCCCTGTTTACAATGTTTGGTAGAAGAAGGGAAATTTTTACCAAAATGCAAATAGGGCTATTCTCTGGACCATGCAAAGAGTAGATCTGCTTCATGTTGCTCTGTGAACCTGCTAGGTTGTGTTTTTAAAACAAAAATTGACAATGCAGATGCAATTGCAAGACAAGTTCCCAGCTATGGTGGGGCAGTTTTCTTCACTGCATCACAGATTTCTCTGTGTCTGTTTTCTTTGTTACATAATTCAGGGTTATGTGCCATTACGGCTACATGATTATAAGTGATATATCTTGATTATGTTCTGCTGTCCCTCTTCCTGAACAAAGAAAGTTTAAGTATACATCTTATCTGGCTTGGGTGAGGAATAGTTTGTCTTACAACATACGGTGGAAGAATGGTGCTGAATTATTGAATACATGATCATATGGCTTCTTTTTTTTTGTCTATATGCATTTTCGGGGTGATGAGGAATTGAGGGAAACGTGCTATGTATGTTATAAGATTTGAGGGCAAAAGATCCTAGAAATGGCTCTGGAACAAGCAAGAAAAATATTTTAAAGATGTTGTTTAGTGTCATTAGTAACAGATATTTGATTTAAAATGGAGAGGACCTCTTTGTACCATGGATTTTCCATGCAATTTCCTCCTCCAGAGTATTACATCCAAGACCTGGGTAAAGGAACAATTAGTTTGGCATCTGCAAAGTCTCAAAGTTAAATGAAAGTCCAGCTTTTAGGATAAGAACTGTTTTGTAACCCTGTTACAGGTGTTATATTAGGTTTGCTCTTGTCTGACAAACGATCACCTTTGAAGTCGAGTCTGCTGACGAGAGTTGGTGATGTCAAGTTGCTAATTAATGTTTTAAAATATGCATAAGTGGTAGGTATGAGAGAAAATTTTGTGATCACTGCATGCCTCTGAGTTTTCCTTCGATGAAGAAGAACCGCTCTGAGGATACTTGTGGGGAGTTTGTGGTGCGACGTTCCAGAAAATAAATACAGAAATTCACGAGACAGGTTCACAGAGCTTCCCCGCACGGAACCACTCGGATCACGACGTTTGTTGCCAGAACCGGCCGTGTCGAGTCCCGTAGTAAGCGTGCAGAGCCGGATTAAGGTTATGAGGGGCCTAAGTATGATTTACATATAGCAACAACAAAAAATGGAATGGAGGGCCTAAGGCCATAGCCTTATTAGCCTATGGGTTAATCCGGCCTTGTATGCGTGTAGCTGTGAAGCTCCCCTCTCGAATTTCATAGTTTTCATTCGCTTATCATTGCAGTGTTGTGGAAACGAGCGTAGAGACTTCTTTCTATTGTAGCGCCTAGTCTGCATGGAAATCACCGCCATTCCATTTCATCCAATTTTTCTCGCTCGAGAAAAACGCATGGGAACTCATTAGTCCCCCACCTCCGAATCGAACGCCACTCGATTCTCTGATGAGGCTTCAGCCGGGATTCAACGAAGCAATTTCCTTCCGCCGTTCGCTCAGCTGACGGCACACGAAACGATTCCGAAAATTTTCTCGGAAGTCTGTCATGGAATTCCAGGTCCAATTAAGTCGTAGATTAATACGTATTTCTCGACTTTCAGCCTCAACTCCCACAGAACAATCGCCTGAACTCGCTCGCACGTCTCAATAATGAAATGCGTCACTGCCTTAACCCGCAACTGCGACGGCCCGCCGAAACGAAGCAGCCGACCTCACGAGAGACTCGATGTACTGGCTTGGGAAACGGAAAGCAATAAAATGAAGAAACGCACACATCGGCCCTGGCTATTTCGGCGCCCTGTGCAAAGAAACTCCCAACGCCCCCTTCCCCCCCACTCCCCGAAAGGATGTTAATTCCTAGCGTTCAAAAAGACGTCGAAACGGGAGGCATTTCCAGTTTCTGAAGTGAAACTGAGGGTGGCAACCATTATTCCTCATTTATTCAGGCATGGTTTGACGCCCCTGGTGAATTTGGCCCTGATCAGAACGTAGAGGTCATTCCGCATCGTTTCCATCTCGCAGACTCGATTTTCTTGTTGTTGCACTCATTCGCGAATGGATATCCGAAGCTGCTCTGGCCACAGCGACGGGCAAGACGATCATTCTGAAATTGATCCGAGCAAGTTGAGAGCAAAGAACGAACGGCTGAAGCGTTTCTTCGAGACTTCATGCCCTCGAAGGAAAGTTTCTGGTCCAGTAGAGAAGTCAGACCGAGTATCGGGAAATTGCGAGGGGCTGGAAACAAACCGGCCAGAGGTCCCCCGTGGATTTATTTAGGAAATCTTTAAATAGAATTTCGTGTTAGACGATCCGCAAGGAAGGAACGCAACGAGCAGCAATTTAGATATTTTCGGGGACAATCGAGCGGAAACGTCGATGTGACGCACAAACCATCCGGCGCGAACAGACGAGACGGAAGAGGCCGGCTGAGGGTGATTGGACCAGACGTCCGGAGTGGAATTCCTGCCTCTGTCGCTGAGGGCTTCCTGAAAAATCTCGCTTCATTTTTGGTCTCAGGTGAGATTCGAACAGTATTTATCGACGATCTTAGGATTTAGTGTGATGTGAACATTCCGTGTATGGACGAATATGACATCCCTGTTGAATATGACATCCCTGCTTGATGACGTCACTCGAGCTTTTGGAGGCAATCTGTCCGGAGTCCTTGTCGAGAAACTCCAGATAGGTCTTAAGTCACACGTCCTCACCAAGATGTCTCGAAAACCCCGAGATTCACCCACGCAATCCCTTTGGCCCCGTAAGTCGACGGTTGAAATTCGTTCGAACGGAAAGGAGTTAGGTTTAAGCTTGATCCGAACGCAGTCCGGTGGGCTAGGCCTAGACGTAACGTTAGCGAGTCCTGTAGAGAAATGGTTTTCACGCCACTTCATTGCTTTCATGATGAGGAATTGCAATTCCTCCATGTTCTTATTGCAAAGCTTCGCCTGAGCGCTGCATAACGGCAAAAAAAAATTCACCCTGAATTTCTTGGCTGAATGAATACGGAGAAAGAGAAATGTAATTTGTACTTCGCTGTCTTGGATGAGATCCCAGTGCGAAACCGTGGCATTGCCTGGGTGAGAGTGGCGTCAGTGACTCGTGCATGGTCAAAGCCGTTTGACAAAGCCAGCCTCGTTTGCAGTTCACGGATCAAATATATTTAAATTACTGGAAGCTGAGGGAACATTATGCCATGTTGAACTGGCAATCGATTGCGAATAAAACCGAGTTGATATTCGCAGTGAGGATTTTGAACCGATTTTTCGGACTCGGGCCGCAGATTTTAGCTGAGTGGAAGCGAGAGAAAAGGCAAAACCGAGCTTGATATGAAATTTAAAGAGCTAATTAATAAATGTGTTGTCCGAAAGAAAATTCAGCCGGCAGGAATAACTGAAACGCTTATAATAATGATGAACAACATATAAGCTGATAATGCTAAAAAAAATATATAAGAAATATTTAATACATATTTATAATTTAAAAAAATGAAAATTTGCCTGGTCTCTCTGCATTTCCAGCTTTCAACATTGGAATCGAGTCGAGATTCAATGCCGTTGGGAAACGAATGCGAGAATGACCTCGACCCATTGGAGTCTACAGTTCCACTTTGCGGAATTGGCTGCAGACCAATTCTTGCGGGCAGTAATCGGGATCCGGGTAGTCGCAGTATCCGCCCACTGGGTTGAACCAGAAGCCGTCGGGGCAAAACTGAAAAAAAAAAGTTGTGATATCCTCGGTGAGAAAGTTCAAAGATAAAAGAAAAAGTTTGAACGCTTTCGAAGTCCTGAGAACTTTTCCTTGGAATTCATTGAATTTTTTTTTTATTTTGTTCACACCGGAAACTTTTCTTGCACGAAAGAATGTTGCGAAAGAAAGATATTCGGAATAAAACTTAGGGAAAAAAAATCTCCTGGTAATTCAAAATCTCGCATGGAAAACTTTTGGCAATTTTCCTTTAAATTTCCTGACGCAACATTTAACTTGTTTTCGTCTGTGGCTGACGGTTAAAAGCTAACCGGATCCGTTTGCACGTTCATGAAGGATTTCACAAAAGAACGTCGTGAAATTTAACGTTGCAACCATCCCTCTAGGACGTTCAGAAATTTGCTTTCAGTAATTTTTAGAAATACCTAATTTCGAAGCCAAAGGTCGCCCTCGAACTGTGAAGGCCAAATTCTAAGGAATTCGCCCAAATAAAAAAAAAATCTGAATATTTAGAACCCTCGATCGTGTGGAAGAAATAAAACCCACGAAGAAGTAATAAGCCTCCGGGCAGAGGAAAAAGGCATTGCAGCACCAAGGATGAGGCCTGGCGGTGCCATCCGGGATTCCCTCGCATGTCGGGCAGCATAAGATTGTCTGCATCATCGTCGGGTAGCACATTGTCTGCTTCATCGCAGTCGGATCTGCCGGGTCTGCGAGGACGAACCCTGCGGGAAAGGAGACCACCGTTTCGTCTCGAGGTGCTTGTGGAGATTTCAACTTTGCGGTGAGAAAATTTGCGAGTGGGAAACGCGGCCGACTGGGGCTTTTTTTTTCCGGCATGAGCATTACGATATGCCGCTTTACTGCACCGACCTGGAAGAAGAAGAGCGATGACCGCCCAGCCCTGCATCATAACGTGTCGTCGGGTCTCTCGCGGATCTTCGTTTCTTTCCGCCTTCGTCTTGGCTTTCCGCGTGTTCTTCGCTATCTGCCGATAGCGGATTTGACATTTGGTCCCGTTCTCGAGGGAACTCTTCGCGTGCCTGGTCGATTTCCACTTCTTCGTTGCCGGGATGGGCCTGATGCTCTTGCGAAATTATCCGAAATTATTTTCAACATTGTCGTCGTAGGAAGTTCTTCGGAGCCGAATGTGCTCCGTGAGCACTCCGGCTAGCCCTGCAGAAGCCATGAAATTCTGAATTCGTGACTCGAGCACAAAAATTGAGTTCTGAGTCCGATCGGAACGCGAAATGACGCGGAAGAAATTAATGAATCAGACTTGGTGCTTTTGGGGTTTCGTCGTTAAAAAAAATAAAAACTCGCGTTTCCGCCCTGTCGGTGTTTCAGCACGCCACTGCCGTACTACCTTAATGCCTTGGTAGACTGGGAGATCGGATGGCACTAGTTAATTAATATTGAAATAAAAATGATAAACCCTTGCCAAAACCTTATGAGAATATCAATTTGTTCTGACAGCTTCCTGGATGGGACGTGGACACTCTGCCTCTCGAAGGGAAACCCATGTGGATTTGATGCCAATGGCATCGCCTGGCGTCGTGCCAGTGGCATCGGCGCATCTTGAGTCCTGGCAGTCCATCATTTTATTTTGTGCGTCCTCACGAAGCTCGTGAGAAGTTCCTGGCCGACGCAGAGCCAGCTACGATTCAGATCGTGAAGCAGCTGGACTACATTTGAGAAAGACGAGCCCGAACGTCCCAATCCTCCGGCGAAGTTCACATCAGGTGAAGGTCGTCTGTGAGTCAGAGAATTCGGGCTCCCCCGGGGCCTCTACAGCGAACCCCCCCCTCTCCTCCCCCCTTCCCCCAATCGAATGACCGAAGCCTCGGTTATCCCGCCTATCTCTTTTAACCTTCCTCGCTTTACTTTTCGCAGCCGAGTTCTGGATTTTTGTATTTAAGAGAGGTTTAAAGGGACTAGATTTTGATAATATCGTATTGTCGCAATCCATCGCAATCCTCTCTCTCTCTCTCTCTCTCTCTATATATATATATATATAGGAGAAAAGGAATGAGATCCCATAGCTGGCTAACCTAGACAACCGACACCAAAAAGTAAGACATTGGAATTTAAAAAGAGAAGAAAGGAAAGAAGCCTTTGGGATCTGAAAGAGTAGCAGGATCCTCGTCGGGGGCATGGTCCTGTTCAAACCTTCAGTGTAGATTTTTCGGAAATCCCACTAGAGCCAAAATAAGCTAGAAGAAAATGAAAGAGTATTGCTGAAAGGTTGTGGATTGAAAGAAACCACAACTTAAGTCATTCTCAAAATTACCACAAAAGCACACCCTATTAGCTAGAGAAAGCTTACCCTCATGTTGCAAGAAGGCAACCAGTGCAAAGTGTCCTGTGAAAAAGGAATTAACGATGCTCAGGAGAGCAGACAACCTCTAACCGACAGCTATGAAGAAATTAAGCTCTAGTGGGATCCGTGCCCGTAAGGTCTATCCACTATCCACGGCTCGATAAGAAAAGAGTGGAGAAAAGGAAAATTCCACAGAAACTGGGAGAATTCACTGGGTAAATTTAATCATGTGTTGCAATTGGAGCCTGTGGACGTAAACCAAAACCAACTGTCTTAACTGTCCCCTGATCGACAGAAAAAATAATAAAGGGAAGGCGAATGCAGTGGAAGAGGAGAGGCACAGTCGACCATAGAAGGCGAATGGCCTATGCCCACTCCCTGGAATGGAAATCCAGGCCTATGACTCAGAGGCTAGCCCCAATCCCACAGAGTGGAAGCAGGCCATCCAGCAGACCGACTAGCGGAAAACGAAAGGTTCGTTGGCGAAAGAAACACCAAACTTCTGCAAAATAATGAGATAGTGCGTTTTTTTTTAAGGCCAAATTGTTTCTTCAAAAACCAATCTTCATATCCATTATTCATCAATTTATCATGTAAAAGACCGCAGTTGAATACGAAGTCATCCTTGTGACTGCAGACCTGCGAGTACAGATATCTATTTAATTGTGATTTGATGACATTATTGATAATATGCTTAGGGATATTAGACCTATGCATTGGGATATTAGACATTTCGAAGGAAGTCTCTTCTTTTATCATAAATTTTAATAGAAAACTTAGTATCTGTAATTTTAAGGTTGAGATCCAAGTAATGAGCGGATTTGAATGGGGGTGAATGTAGTTTCCTGCACTTCCATGCAATCTGGATAAATAGAAGTGATATCACTCTCAATGGAATTGTTATTGAGTGCCAAGAGATTATCAGTATACCTAAAGGTAAAGGTATATGCCTGTGGAGAAGAGGTGGTTTTTTTTTTTTAGGAAGTTACGCTCATAAAATAAAATAAAAAGATTGGCCATATTAGTTGAGTAACTACCCCCCATGGGGATTCCGATGACTTGCCGAAACAGCTTATTACCCATGAGAATAAAATTACTCTGTAGGCCTGCTTTAAGGATATTTGAAAATAATTCCACACCAATGTAGTATTCTTTGTAATTACAGCCCATAGGCAAAAATTCTCGAAACAGATCTGCCAGCGAAAATCCCTTGGACCTTCTGCACAAAAGGCTCCTTTCCTTTCTTCTCTTTTTAAATTCCATTCTCTTACTTTTTGGAGTCGGTTGTCTTGGTTAGCCAGCTATGGGATCTCATTACTTTTCTCCTATATTTATTTATATATATAGAGGGGGTTGCGATGTATATATATATATTCAATCTGCTCAATACTGTTAAAAAATGCTTGTACTGCGCTAAAAAAAAAAAAAATTCGGAGGAGAGGATACAGAGCTGCTGTGAAGGAAAAGCAATCCTTTGAGAGCAGACGCAAATGAGAAGTTGGAATTAAAAGTGGGGAACGGACTGGGACTGGGACTGGGACTGATCCCCGGGAATGTCGAAGCGATCTCGATGGTTTTTTTTTTCGCAAAGTCCCGGGCGAGTTCTACTGACTCCCGATGGGAATCCAAGAATGGTCATCGTGATTGTGAGAGAATTCCATACCGGATGCAACTACCTTGCCCTCTGCGAAGGCGGTAAGAAAACACCAACAACGCGGATGTTCTTGGGCGGGAGGGTGGGAGGCAGGATGGAGGAGGGTGGGAGGATGGAAAATGCTGTGGGCGCTCTCGACGTATCCGTACGTGGGCGATGCTAATTGTAATCTGACTCCTATTGTTACGGTACCGGTGAGTTCCGTAATGAAATACGAGATGGTTTAACAGGAACAAGAATTATATTACACTGTGAGAGGCCATTGATGGGAAAAAGAGTCCACTCGGATGGCAGACCATGTCCTTGCGTATATACGAGCTATAACGTTCTTTGCTATGAAGCGTTCGTGAATGCCCTTTATCCCCGAATTCGCTGAGGTGGCAGAAGAACGGCAGGGAAGTCTCCCAAGTGCAAGGCGATCGGCAGGAACGAGAAATCCGCCTGAATCGAGCTTGGTACCACCCTGATACTGCCTTGGTACCTCACAGACCGGAACATCAGCGACCTTGAGGGCCCTCGTTAAATGCATGAACCTCAGTCCTCAAGCTAATTTAAAGCATCCTTGGAATGTTTCTTGCGCCGATCTGCAGGCTGCACGACCCGCGTCCGTCGGGACGCGGACCGCGACGGACCGCATCCCCTTGAATGCGAGATGCCATGGCCCTTGCCAAGACAGGTTTTTGCCCTTTTTTTTAAATTGCCCTTTCTTGTTTCCCCAAGGACCCCCCAGGTTTCAACTGCAGAAACTTCCTGAAGGCAGCGGCGTTTCTTACCATTTACGACACACTCGCTTCGTTTCCCCCGGTTCGCGATCCCCGAGCAGACAAGGATATTTTGTTCTTTTTTTCATCGATCTTTCGCGAATCGGACGGAGCACGGATCTGCTGTTTTTTCGTACGATATGAGTTCGGTTGCAGAAGCGTGGACGAGGAGTCGGTGCAACACTGTCAGACATGTTCTGGCAACACTGTGAGGCCGGTCGTGGCACGAACCGCATCTTGACATCACGGGTTTTTTAAATTTGTATCGATATGCTACCCAGATCCGTGAGTGGGCCATCTCAGAAAAGCCTACGTCTTTCCTCGCCCGTGGGGCAATAAACTTGACGGTTTTTATGTCTGTTGGCCCTCGTATTATGGTAAGAGATTTATGTCTCGGTTTATCAAATGCATCCGTGCTTTCGTCAGACGTTGAGTGATCCGCGAACCGAAGCGGCCGCCTCCCTCACTTCGCTCCCCTCGTCTCCCTCGTCATGTTCAGTCGGTAGGGTCGTGCGCGGTTGGAGTCTATCCGGTGGAGTCGCGTATCGAGCTCGAGAGAGCAGAGCTCTTGCTCTTCATTAATCAATCATCGAGCAACCGAGTTATATGATTTCATGGCTTCGGTCACTCCATAATATATAATAATATATTCCATTTAATAATCCCACAAAAATTCAATATGTAATAATTAACAATTATATAATAATTCCATATATTCATGCCGTGATCATAACTCGGTTGAGTCGATCTTTCGAGATCCATTTTCTCAAGGTTGGACTGACCTCGCTTCGGCCTTGTCCGATCTTGGAACTCGGCCGGACCATCACCATCACCATCTCCATCTCCATCATCATCATCATCATCATCATTATCACTTGGAATCCGGCCAGTCGCTTGGATCGCGGCCTAATGGATCATCTTTGCTTCCACGATTGAATTTTTTCCACTCGTACCACGACAATTCGTCGCAGTACACTTGGTCGCCGACTTTTCGTCGCCAATTGGTCACCGACAATTAGTCACAAGTATGACCAGTTGCGAGAAACATTCATTGCATGCTGTACTCGTCGTCGTTCATATTCTTCGCCCAAGTATCATTTCCGTTACGTAATCCAGTGGAATACCGAGTCTCTCATCACCGCATGCCGATTAGATTACGGTAACGGGGTCCAGAGTCTGGTCCCCTAAGAACCTATTAATGTTAGAAAACGAGATAAAACTTGATGGGGTCGAAAGTCTTTAAATAGCGAATGGTATCGAAGGCGTTGTCAAACCAGTCAAAGTGCAGTGTGTCGTCAGAAATCGACATTTTAGGCCATCGCACGAAGGTAATTCATGGTTGTCGATCTTGTCGTGTAGCTTTCAACCACTGCCTTCAGGCGGACGTCCAGTTGAACTCACTTCTTTGGGGGTTCCATGGGAAAAAGCAGACTTGAATCTCAACACTAGGGTACCAATCAATAAAAGCATCGATGGCAGAAAATTCGAAGTCGGTCATGACCGAAGCCAGTTTCAGGGCTGGCAAAAGATCATTCGTCATGTGTAAAGGCCCTGTTACACTTGGCGAGTACTCGCTAGGGCCATTCACTTAGTGTAAAATCCCACTCGCTAGGGCCATTCGCTTACTTTAACAACTCACTCGCTAGCACTCGCTATGAGTTTGAAAGATTTCAAACTTCAGGCGAGTACTCGCTAGTAAGGACTGTTATACTAAGCGAGTGGCCCTAGTGAATACTCGCCAAGTGTAACAGGGCCTTAACAAACGAATGTAAGCGAGTTCATCCTTGCTTGGAAGGACCGAATGCACACAAGGAATCCCAATAGATACAGCAAGAGATGCTGCAGACTCGGTAGGAACCACGGGGAGCCATTTTGAAGGTCCCATCAAAAACGAAAAGATGCGTACTCTCTCCTCCTCACCACGGAAAAATGCGGAATTCCTGACAGTTCTGAATGCTTCGGGAATCGGTATGTCATCTTCAGGATTTGGAACTTCCCGCTGACGTTGAAATTGCAAGGCACGAGTACCTGGAAGTTGTGAAACTGAAGACTCGGGCAAGTCTTTCAGTTCCTTTTGCAAAATTGTACGAGTGGCTTCATCGGATCGAGCGGCTCTTTCCTTAATGAAATCGATCTTGGTGACCGCATCGATGCGAGCTTTGCATGGTGCAAGATTGTGTTCTGTGATCGATTTGACCAGCCCAGAGTCTTCAGCGCGTACAGTACTTTCCCTTTCCACATCTCCAAATGGTCTTTGTTTTTGCTTATTCTTTCACGCGTCTTCAAAACCCCTTCGAAGGAAAACTTGTGCTTACCTCTCCCGCTGAGGACATAGTCGAATGTAGCCATGTAGCCGCTTGCTCTGTCGCAGCAAACTAAATGCACGTTCTTTCGAACGTAGCTACCGAAACAGGTATTTGAAGGTCACTAGACCTGCTTGCGACGAATTGACGGGTCACGGTTCCGCGTTGTTTCTTGGCAAAAGCGGAGGCCCACCCGGTTGTAATTGCGTTTGCAAACTCGCTGCATCTGCAATTTTGGCAGGACCAAAATATGCGCCGTAAAACCTTTCCTTTCGAGCCGTCGACAGATTTCCTGGTTACTAGGCGGTTAAACTTGGCCGGGTGGTTATTCCAAGAGAATTTCTTCCTCGAGATGGTACTTTACCTACCCCACAAACCGATATTTAATAATTAATAGCAAATAAAAAAAAAACAAATAGTAATTAATCTAACTAAGCAATGGCGTCACAAACGATAGATTCTTCGAATCTTGATAAAATAGCATTCTCCTCCTTCCCCACCTTCACCTCCGACCTTCCCCCCTTCACCTCCCCCCTTCCCCTCATTTAGTTTCGATACCGTCGTGGACTCAGGTACACCTCCCATATATTTAATCCCTAATGTCATTTATTCATGCGGAATTCCCTCAAAGCCGAGAGAGAAAATCTCATTTGAATTTCCTCGCTGCATTTGAATTTCATGTCGCCGGATTTGACTTGGAAAATTTTTCGCGCTTTCGTCTTTCGCCGGCGACCGTTGTTTGCTCGTGCCTTGGGTTTCGCAAAAATTGCGATGATGAGATTTCGCAAGAATAAAAATTGCGAAATGGACGAAATCTTATTTTCTTTGAATATTTTATATATTTAATTTTGCATGTTTTCCCAATACTTGAAACATCTTGCGCAAAATAAAAATTGACAAGATTTTGGCAAGAATGGACAGGAGCGACGACGACTCTGCAAAACAATTAATGTGAATTATTAATATTAATATCACGCTTCCGACTGCAAATTCCGATTCGTTTCAATATTGTGACTTCCTTAGTTGTAAAAGCGGTTTGTGACTTCGTGGACTTCATGGACATCCTGCATTAAATAATTAATTATAATAATAAAATAATATCGTAGGTCTGGGAAATTGCGAGATCAATTTCATTTTGACCGAACGAGAAATGAATTCCGTGCGTTCGAGAATCCTTTGCCTTTTGTGCGACCGTGATTTAGTTATTATGTGATTTTATAATTAAAATGGTAAATTAAATGATTTAGCATTCATGGGGTTGAGAGTCCGATCGTGGCGAGAGGAAGGCCCGAGCAGCGCTCTCTCGAGGCCCGTGCAGCGTTCGCTTCGTTCCCAAGCGTGTCTTGCGCGTTTTTTCCGTCCAAGTTGCCTGACTGCGTGATGAATGGACCATTAAAATTTCATTTGATAATAATAATAATTATTATTATTTAGATAATAAGTATCGTTACTGCTGCTTAATGTTGATGCGCCCATGTCTGGAATTCACGCGCGTTTAAATGTACAGTACAGTAAATTCCTTGTGAAACGATCCGGTTAACCCAGCGAGGCGAGGCTCACCGAGGTTCAATGAGGCTCGATGAGGCTCAATGCTGAGGCTCACCGAGGCTCGACAGCGAAGCAGGAAGCACCGAAAAAGATTCGAAATGCACGAAAGACAATACGATGTGGGGGAAACGCGCGGGGGAAGATGAGATTCCTGGCACCCCGAAAGGTCTAAAATTGGATCAGAAGGCGGCACGAAGGCGGATGCTCCCCCCCCATTCGTGCCAGGCCTTCCAGTCAGGCCTTCGAGTCATTCCTCGCTGCAAATTTTCCCCCGTGCAAAATGTCGATGCGACGCGCCGTGCTCAAGAGGGAGAGGTACCAGCCGCTCATGATGCATCGAAAGGTGGGAAGTTTCCCGTGTAAATTGTTTACTGAGAACTTTTCTACGGGCGCAAAAACAATGTTTTTTTCTACCTCTCGGAATTACTCGAATTTTTCCTTTTTTCCGATCGATGTTTTCGTCGTTTTTTGCAGTTCCGTCAGGCCTTTTTTTTTACGTGCAAATTAGCACGATTTCTGCCGGAAATGTTAGAATAGAATCGTAGCATATTATCGATTGCAAATTTTTTTGCAAATATTGCGCCTATTGAGTGCACTTATTCGGCAGTGATTTTAGCAAAATCCGCCTGAGGAGAAAACATCATTTAGGGAAAACAACGCAAAAATAAATTTACAAACGTTGCTAATTCAAATTCTGCGAAATGGAACAGCTCGACTATTCCTTGTCAATTTTTCTTTTTCTTTCCTGAATCCTTTTCTTTCCATCCTGCATTTTGCATGAGATTCTGCCGTTTTGCCAATTTTAAGTTGCGTGATTGAAAATTGCACAGGCCTCTATGGTAGAGGCCTGCACCGCCGAAAAAAAGAGATTTGCGATCGAAGCCAATTTTCGTCCATGTCGCAAAAACTGCGTCACTAACAACTGCGTACTAACATGTAACTTTTGGCAACACGTGCGGTATATCAAGTGGCGGCTGCACTACCAAAATAAATAGGATCACCTTTTGCCAATATGATCACAAACCACAGCAAGACACACGCTGCACCAAGGAAGAGGCATGAAAATGTATGAAAATTGAGATTGTCTGTTGCTGAATAATTTAGGGTCGTCCAGCGATGCAGCTCTGACGGCGATGACCTGCCCTCCAGGTTAAATTTCTCCTTCGGTTAAATGTCATGACCGCCATGAACGTCGTGGTTTGACTGCCGTGATTCGTCCGTCGCTGTGAGAAATAGGGATTTGCTGGTCGATTGGATGACGACAATTTTGCAGTAATTCAATTTATAAATAATAATAAACATACGAAGAGGGAAATAAATAATGCAAAAAAAATTTTTTTGTGCCGTCCCGCCGGCGATAAAAATTGAGATGAGAGTTTCCCCCCCACCCCCCCATCGCTTCAACACTTGTAGTCTTCGTGTGTTCGATCGCTTGTGGTCTTCGTGTGTTCGATCGTCTGTCATGGTCGCAGTGGATCTGATGGGGATTAACTGTCCCCGGGGAGTTTCGAAGCTCTTCTCGGTTGCTTGAAGTCTTCCCGAAAATGAACCTACGCGAATTTTCTTGAAGTAGAGGTAGGAAATTAAATATATCTGAAATCTTCCTAAATCAAGATTTTAACATTTTAAATGATACAATTGTAGTTTTTAAATAAAAATTCATTTTTTTCAGCTTATCCGACGCATATTTCTTCAGTGAATGACGAAGTTGATGCTCCAATTTTCCAAGTACTTTATTTTTATCTTCAATCCCTTTCTTTTTTTTAAATTCCTATATACTGTACCTGAACATTATATATGGCCCCCCCTCCGCCCTTTTCCTCTTAAAACCAGTGCGGCATAACACGATAATGCCCTTATTATCTTTTTTCTCCTATGAACTTAATTCTGGTTTGTTACCCAACCTTCTCGCAGTCTCTTCTCTTCACCACATAATGCAGTTATTTCTCCACACCCCTCCCCCCTTCCCCAGCCCCCCAACCCCCACCCCTACCCCTCCCCATCCCCCTCCCTCGCCCCAACCCCTCCCCAGCGCGTTACAGGTCGGTTTCCCTGGCATTCGTCCATCGCAGCTGACTGATGAGACTCCCGCGAACGGCGCCTCGCTGTCGCAGAGGGATCCCTAATCCCCCAGATCCCTAATCCTCTAATCCCCACATCGTCCCCGACGAAAACGGAAACGTCTGAAATTTTTTAGTCGCCTGAAGCCCCATCTCCAGCTGAATTCCACCCAGACGCTTGATCCCGCGCTTATCTCCATCTCCTTAAATTCCGCTTCTCACTTCCGGGTCACTGGGTCCACGCGAGTCCGACGACTAAATGAGCATCGACATCAACATCGACAGGAAAAGACGGGCGAACGGCCTGATTTGCACTCGAGGGTGCGGTTTTGCGCAAGAGACGTGACGTCAGAAAAACATGGCGACATTCGCCGACTGGCGTCTATTCGCATCAGGTTCCTCCCCTCCCCCTCCCCCCTCATCCCCTCCCTTCCCAATTCTCAACGTTCGATCACTCTCGATTTCGTTGATTGCGATGAAAGCGAAGAAGTACGGAAGCTTGTACTTGTGACGGGTACTTGTACTCGAGATGAGTCCAGACCGCTCAGAGCATGAAAGAAACTCATCGGAGACATTTGAAGATGCCATCGCCTCCCGCCAGTATTCAGCAGGGGCTGGATGAGGCAGGATGAGACCGGATGCAGGGAAATTGAGGTCCAGGCGACCATCCCGACATCTGCCGTTCCAGATTCACGCGTTTTCGTGCGTCTCGGCCGTTCTCGTACCGGTTGATGCTACCGATCACCGCTTACCAATTACCGATTACCGCCGGAGCGACCGATCCAGATTCGATCCTGGCAGGCGATAACGCCCTGACCAACCGAGCGTCTCTAACCGCTGCAAGAATTGCGCGTTTCTGCGGCTCATCATCTGCCAAAATTCATGAATTTTTGCAGTCTTAGAAATGACGACTTAAAAGTTATTCTTGAAAATAAAAGGTTCGATGAGCGATTTAGCACAGGAATTCGTAACAGTGATCCGCCTGAAATGTCGACCGGTGTCGACATCTGAGCCCAGTGCTTTTCGTCCGCATGAAACCGACGTCCACTCTCGACGATCCGCTGGACATCCCCGGGGATGTCCAGCGGAACGGCCGCGGAATCCCCATCTGACTTCCGAATAAAATTTGTCTTCCAATTTGCATCAAAATCCTCACATTACTGGGAGTTTTTGGCAGGAAATGAACGCCCCAGCCATTATTTCTTTCAGCCGAAATCCTGGAAAAGCGACTCGAGAGACATCTAGTGAGGTTTGAGTGAAGCTCTGGGGTTGTCCTTTGAACTCCTCCGCTCGTGTTTGTCTCGAGGCGACAGACTGTCTCGGCGGGCGTGTTTCTCCATCAAAGCGTAAGCGGCTTTCAGTTTTCGACGGGGGTCGATAAATAAAGAAATAAACAATTTTCGTAGACATTTTGGCGAGCCGTTTTGGTTGGTTGGCGTTGAGAGACGCTTTGCGATCGGGTTTCGTCGGTCAGCCTCGTTGAGAGCCGATGAACAGAAATTAAATTATTTACCAGCTAGTATTTTTAAATTATAGGTACGATGAAGCGATTTAAATTTGCAAGACAGGAAACATTCGGTCACGATATCGATGACCGATATCGGTGGCCTCGTGGACGTTTCCATCGAGGAACATTAATAATGCAGAAGGGGAGAAAGGTCGAGCCGCTTTCTAAACGGGGCTGAGAGATGCAAGATTTCGCGAACCCGGAAGAGAGCAATGTTATTGCACCGAGGTGGCCATCGATCCCGGGAACAAACACCATGCGACTCCCCGTTGTCATCGCGGGGCTACTACATTACGGTAGCAGGAAAGTCGGGGGAGACCGTAGCAGACGACGCTCGATCGGACGCAGGGCGCATGCCTGCAACAGGCGGGGGAGAGGCCCCGCAGTTGCCCAGTGACCGGGAGGGTTGAAGCACATGCTCCGTGCTTCACTCGATCGTCTTCTCCAGCCCCAATCCTGGACAGCTAGGCATAGGATTCTCATTTCTCTCGGTCCCTTTGCGAATTTTTGCACCGAGTGGACTGTGTTATGCGATGTGAACCCGTACCCTATGTAAGCAATATAGATCTAGGTCGTACCCAAACGGTGGGACTCATAATTCATACTTTATACGGAATTTTGCCAGTTTACCTTGTATTGAAGTGCCTTGGTTGTGGGCTGGCCTTCGACCTTATGAAGGGCTTCGGCTTATAGAAGAGCCTTAGGAGCCTACTCCCCTCCGCAGCGACTTCCCTACCTTAAGATGTTTTAGGCCTAGGTGTACGTTAGGTGAGGTCTTGCTGGTTTGCCTAACTGACTAATCCTGTTCCTAGTGTTTAAGTAGACCTGAAACTGTTGACTTGGGCTAGGGATGTATTTGACTGTAGGCATAGGTCTAAATTGTGATAAACCATAAATGCTTCTTTTGATATTATTCTTAGCCTTGGCACTTTTGCCACTTTGGCTTTTTTGACATATTTTACTTAGTGGCCTGACAATTTTAGCTGCAGCAGTGAAAACACTCAAGTTTTCAGATTGGCTTTTACCCGTCCACTCCTCTTCCTCTAATCCACTTAATCGACTGAAAGGGCCTGACACAGCAACAATTTCCTAGGGATGCTCTGATGTGTCTCATTCACAGTGTAGTTCCGAACACTGCATGCAGAACAGCAAAAACAAGTGTTTGATGCCAAATATTTATGAAACAGGAGAGTCCAATATTGAAAACTATCAAATGAGGTGGGGTCACCCTGTAAACTTTGCAGCAGGAGGTGATACTTTACACAAATCCAAGGTTAAATGTGCATGCATGTAATGTCAGTGTAATGCAGCTTTTAGTGCAGTTTGATATAAGCCTCTATATGGCTTCTCTATATGGCTTGGCCTCAATGGCTTACTGTTTCATCTCTTACATAGTGAAACATGCAGGTCAATGGGCTCCATTGAAGTTGACTTATGTTGGATCCTTGAGGGTGTCTTCCTCAGTCTTAAACCTTTCTGCCATCCCTTGTTGAAATCATGTTATATTTTGTCTACACTATGAGCTTTGATTTTGTTAGGAAGTGTGATCAAGCTTGATAGTATTGCCCTTTTCTTATTAGAGTCTCACTGTCATAGCTTACTGGGAAGCCATATGAGACATATTAAGATTGATGGTAAGTGCTTGTGATCAAAAGATTTTCAAAACAGCAGAATTTTTCCTGAAGTTAGCAACAGACGCATGCATTCTTTGATACATGAGAAAAATGAGAAACAACCACAAACCATGATTTTTAGCCATGGCTAAATGAGCCAAACTTTTAAATTCATGAAATAAATTTGGCTCATGAGCCATAGGTTCCTGACGCTTGCTGGAAATCAATGATGGCTTGCGATGGCACATAAAGTAAACCTAGGGTAGGGCCCTTATGCTCAAAAAGTTATACTAGATGGATTCTTGTTCTGTACGGTTCTTTCCAGCCTGTAATGAACTGGCCTGTTCTGTGAGACTTAGATGTATTTTTGAATCCCTCGCTGGATATACCTCATGTGCATCAAACCAGCAAGAATATGCAGTTTCTTCTTATAGGATCATATTGAGCCCACAATGCTTTAAGTTCAGGTGTGGTGCCCATTTAAGATGCTGCAGCATGCTGAGTGTTATGGGTGCCCAAGGCCACTTAAGCTTATACAGTTGCTCCAAACTATTTTTTGCCCTTGCCACAGTATTGTTTGTCAATAGGAAACATTAATTGCTTCTTAGGTTTCACCAGCCTTTTGGCATGATGTTAATTCATACAACTGATTCTGATGCAATGTTTCTCTCTTGTGAGGAGGTCCCAGCAATCACTGACCAGGTTTATTCACCTCGCCAGTTCTGCTGCATCAGGTGCCTCAAAAATATTCATTGGCAGTGAGAATGTGCCTCGGTGTGTGCAGTAATAGCACAGTTTCATGTGTGTGAGGTGGCAAAAAATGATAGAAGACTGGAGCCCATTCAGGACAGAAGTATGACACGACTCTATGGTCATAATATGATGGGCTATAACTATAACCAGCATGGCTACAACAAGCTCTTCGCACAGGTATGGTACACTGAATAAAGCAGCATCTGAAGTTTAAATTGAATTTATAGATTGGCTGACATAGCTTGTCAGTGGTGCAACCCAAGAAGGGGTGGTGGGGAATTGGCATGAATATGCCCTATTTACCTTTTGGAATATTTTCAGATTTAGACCAGCTATTTGGTTATTGCCATTCGATCCTGAATTGTTTCAATAATTAGCCCTGTTTGCTGAAAGAACACTTAGCCTGTTTGGATATGAATATTAATTATGATGTATGTGGTTATAATTTATTTGTACATTTCATATGTTGTGTAAATGATCTATAATTACACAACGCTTGTGGCACTAAATTCCACCTGCCAATACCTGGCTTTTGTGGGAAGGAAAAAGGCAATGCTACGTAAGTATTCGAATAATTCTTAATTATTTCATCTGGTCGATCCCTAGAAGAACTCGATGTCGGCATTAATTTTTTGGATGGGTTTTTGCGGCACTGGGTTTCTCAGACCCAAATGGCAGTTATTTTCGCAAGAAAGTTCTATTTTTGGAACGGTCTGCACTGTTTCCTCAATCTAAATATGGAAATGCCGATACCGTTGATCCCTCTCGACCGTTATATTTATGGAAGTACCGTTGGTAGATGTCACTATTGATTTCCGTTTCGAATCAGCGATTGTTCCTACGCTTATTGATAGGGTTGTCCTATCCATTCTGGAAAGGTCAAACAACCACATTCGTTAGTATGATTGAATAGGATATGTGAGCTGGAAAGCGCAGAAGCTAATCGGGCCTTCTGTATTGGATGAAACTGTTGACCTTTGTATGAATGAATGACGGACGTAATATGTATCGTGAACAATTGCGTTTCAACGCCTACCGATCGACTAAACCATCATCATAAGCTTTGGTACTGTGTGCGAGAAACTCGTCCGCTACGGACATCATAACTGACCGAATAAAGCGAAAGGAATATGCGTTTCTGAATCCCAAAGCTCCCATGAACCAAACTATCAAAACAATAAATAAGGCAATGAGTTGAAAAGAGGAGAGTGACAGGAACCTCATCAGGGCACAATCCTGCTAAAACTTATGTGTAGACAGATCTTTTTCGCAAATCCCACTTGGGCGAAGAAGAACTAGAAGAAATGACATTGTATGGCTGAAAGGCTCTCGTGTGATTGTAACCACAGCTTAAGTCAATCTCACCACCACCGCAAGTGCGCACTCCATTAGCTTGAGAAAGCTCACCCTTGTGCTGCATGAAGGCAAAGGGTCCATAGTGTACTATGGAATTGGACATGAGAATGCTCAGGAGAGCAAACAACCTTCAATCAACAGCCATGGAGAAATTGTGCGCTTGTGGGATCCGTGCCCGAAAAACCTTTCTGCAATTATCGGCCCAGTGCAAGACGACTGGAGAAGGGAAAATTTCCACTTAAGTGGGTGGATTTACCGGGTACATTAATGTGTTACAATCCGAGCCTGAAGGCATAGACCCAAAACAGCTATCAGGGGACAGCTACTTGAGACACGGATGTGTCTCAAGTAGCTGTCCCCTGATAGAAGAGCTGAAGAGGAGAGAGGAAAGGGGAAGAAAATAGGCAAGAGTAATTGATTTAAATAAGCAAAAATCTGAGTCAGTGAGGATTAATGCATCTAGGAGTGGCAATACGAAAATACCTTCCCAAGAAAAGGATACATTTGAAAGGGATTTTGAAGTACAGTTCGTTGCATAAACTGATTTTTTCGAGTAAGAACCAAATGCTCTCCTTGAAATTGGTGCACGCACCTAGGAACTGTGCTTTCTGGAAGGGCAGACCCTTTCGAAAGACCTTGAAAATGCTTTCGAACACTGGCAGCATTATTGAATTTTATGGATAAAATATTTACTGATAGGCCAATGTTTTTTATTTGAAATATTAGCCACATTCAATCAGTTGAGTCAACCAACTATATGTTTCATTAAAAAAAAAAGCTGAAATGACTGGCAGGTGTAGAAGAAACTTTACTTTTAAAGTACTCAGTATTACAATGTGTCTCCTGGAAAGATAAAGCCGCAGTGAATTTTTTTAAAGGCACCGGGTAAAACGGCTTTCCCCGAATGATCTTATGCCCTCTGTCCCGTGACTTGACATTTCCAAGGCTGGAAATGAAGTCGAAGGGGGGAAGAGGGGGGGAATATAAGAGCAAGATGGTTCTGGTTGAGTGAATCATGCGGCTCGGCGAATGATGTTTCCATCTGCTTCGAGGGCTGGAAATCCTTGAATAATATCAGGAAGGAAGGGAGGACCTCAAGGGTTTTTCTTTTATTTCCACCTTGTCCCTTAGGGCTCGGGGGATTCGAATTACAGCCAGCCGTCGTCAGACCTCAGCCTGGACGAGGAACGAGAGGTGGTTCGGAGGGAAACCGAACGACAGGCCCTGTCCCAGCTTGAGAAGGCGAGGGTAAGGGAAATTTTCATTTTTTTATTACCCTCCTTCTCCCCTCTTCCGAGAACCAGGATAAACCCCCTTTAGTCTCTTCGTCGACGAACGGTGATACAAGCAACATCCACTAGTGTCTATTTCCGGATGACTCCCGGGAATCTTCTCGAGTTCTCATCTTTTCCTTTTATTTTTCTCGGCCCCGTGGAGCTCCGGACTGATACATCCGATGGATCGCGCTGCTAGACACCAAGACATGATTGAATTTTGAGACGTATTTGTTTGACAAATGGGATGGGAAGTCAGATTCCTCTCAGCTCTCTGGAAATTGTGCGGCTCGTCGAGTGTACACACGAACGAATCGAACTATCGATTCCGGGGTTCCACCTCGTCGCAAACTGCGCCGATTTCCCACGAAAGCGGAGAGGATGAAAAGAAAAGGAGAGAATCGAAATTAGAGAGGAGGGGGGGGCGGAGGAAATGGGTGAGGGTAATTAGGAAAAGAGGGAGGGATGCAGGATGTCTGAAATGGTCCCGACCCTGATGGACCCTGACACTACATCCCCCTGCCCCCTCTAATATCATTAGCCTTTAGCTCTTCTTTCCATCTTCATTCCCTTCTCCGCATCCCCCTTCCAGATGCCTTGATCCCTGCCACAGAGCTGCTAATGCCGAGACGGCGGGGAGGGGGCTGCGGCCTCCCAAGGTTCATTCCATGGGTCGGTTATGTTGCAGTCACCCACCTAAGAAAACGATTCTCGGGAATTCTGTAGTCGGGATGTGGAGCTCACGCATTGTCGTTTATCCTCCATCTTGAATATGACGTCTTTCATACAATTGCGCTACGCCCTTCGCTTCCATGTGAACCAGTAGCTGTTTCACAGTCTCTGGTTATTCGCCATTCGAATGTTAAACTTAACGAGGCGGACTGGATTTCATTGCGACGGGGATGCTTCACTGACGGCATGCCTACTTCGTATGTTACTTAATTCAGAAGTAACATTGGTATAGTGTAGCAATGAGCAATCCTCCCTACCATGATGCCCAACGGAGGCTCCAAAAGTCATTGGCGTTTCTTGTCGTGGTGGTCTGGGGGCCTGGGAGTACCACAGCAAGAGGATACATTGAAAGGAAAAGTCGGAATGGAAACCTTCCCCCCTTTACTCGCATCCTCCGATGCCCATTCCTAGCCCAGGAAAGCGGTCGTCCGGGTCGTCGGGCACCGCAGGCAACCATTTCCCGGACGGCCATCCGTTGTTGAACAAATGCGCAGACTCCCTTGTGTCGGATGATGTAATCCACCTGTGGTGCAGCTGCTGCATCCTCCTCTTCCTCTCTAATCCTCCGCATCGATCTCCCTCGGATATATGCGTCCGGGGGGAAAACAGGGATTTCTGAATAGACAGGAGCGCGCTCTCTCTCTCTCTCTCTCTGCCCTGATTATGCCGCTTTCCTTGAGGGGGTCTTCCTCTGTCATTAGCATGTGAATGAGACAGAGACTGAGAAGATGACATGGTGATCCCGCCTTTAATCATCCTCCTTGATGATGACCTCCTTAACCCTGTCTCGGGTCTTAGGGTTCTCCCCTCCCCCCCCTCTGATTTATATGTTAATACTCCTCCACCTCTTGAATATTCCAGTACCAGGTTTTATCTATTTAGGTTTAGGTATTTAATGCTTCCACTTTAAAGTTTACTATCCTACGAAGCTTGACCCTTTTGTTTTTATGTCTTTGAGCGCCTGTTTTTACTTCTATGTGAATTAAGCGTGAGTCACCATCAAAAAAAGTATTACATAGAGGTGCTGAAGGTCTTCCATGTATTTCTCTGCTTAAAAATCCAAACCCAAGACTGAGTGACTACGTTGGGTGCGTCCACTATATGTAATGTATCATTTCAAGTCTTGTTTGCAGTTTGTTTCTTATATGGTAATTTGTGCGAGATATGATATCCATTCTGCATACATTAATATGCGAGAAGCTCTGCAAAATATATTCTCTTTTCTCGTGTAATCTTCTATTTCGAATTTCTCAGTTATTATAACTTAAAGAGAGTCGGGTGTGTTGTACATATAGCACAAACCGGTGGCGTTTGCCGTGCGGACGAACGTGGCATACGACGGGACCCTGGACGACGACTCCCCTGTCCACGGCACGGCCATCTCCTTCGGCGTCAGGGACTTCCTCCATATCAAGGTCGGTCGTCTGTTTCCTCCCCTTTCGCTTGATCCAATTTGAGGGATGCAAGGACTTCTGCCGCTTTTTTTTCTTCATTTCTTTCCCCCTCTTCCTTTTTCTCCCTAACGCTGTCCGCAAGCAATTTAATATGACAGCGGGAGGAAATGATGAAATCCCTTTCTTTCCCGGGTTGAGCATAGTATATGCTGGCAACTGTATCTCTGTATCTCTCTCCTCGTGTTTTCTCCCTCGAGCATTTCTAAGGAAACTGCCCTCCAACCAGTTTTTTTCTTCCGTTGAAATTGCATTATGGAATGACGCACGTTGTAAGCAAAAATGGATGAAAGGGGTGTTATGGCTGCAACTCATGGTTTCCCTTTGAGTTTCATGTATAATCTTTTTGAAGGGTTAATTGAAACCCGATTTTACATTTTTAAATTATATGTTAAATAAAATTTAACTTTTAAATTTCCCTTAAACGTTAAGTAGAGGGGTCATTTGAGGGGTTTACAAATGTTTTTCAGGTGACTTTTCTTTTAACCCTATCAGGGTTATATCTTTTGCTCGTCGCATGAAGCATGTGTTATTCAGTGAAAGATTGGACATTTTACTTCCCTACTCGTTTTCGAATTAAACAAATCCAGAAAATTTTCTGTCGTGTAGAAACTCGAGAAAGAAGAAATGTTAGTTTTTTTTACCGTGCTCGTATCTTGTCGTATCGGACGAATATTGACACTGTGTCTTGACTTGAAAGCAAGTAAAGCTGGAAGGATAGAAACAAACGGCATCGTAATTCACAATCTGAGAGTGGAGGGAGACCAAGACGGGAAATCAATCTGGCCCCTTCCTATAGAATGCCGTCAAGCTCGTTTCAGATTGCCTTTACTGCCTCTCTTAAAACCTGGAATCGAAGGGGATCTTCGTTGAGATTTTGATCATGATGACCTCTGCTGCAAGAGTATCTTATGATTGCCGATGAAAAATCGTAGAAAGTGAGTGACACCATTTCACGTATGAGTTCCTATAACTGGAACTAGTGAATGCTTAAGTGTCTTTTAAGGGCTTCTCCATCACCCTTTTCCATCTGACTGAATTGAGAAAACTTGGGTTGGCTTCATGCGTCTCAAACGAACTCTTCTGTTGCAGCCCGTGTTAACCTAACCTAACCATGTATAAATTCAATCCGTAAAAAGTTTGAGGCTGAAGCTTGAGAATAGGCCTAGGCCAGACTAATGATAGACTAGGTCGGTCTGCAATTTCTGAGTGGCTAGACGGTCCCGTGGCCGAGCTACCGATCGAAGCCGATGGTTATGCCGGTCATCGACGTCTGCTTCCTTTCCCGAAGGACATCGGCGAATCGAACGCAGAAATTGCCGAGACGTCAGGATCACTTAACACGAGTCGCACTTACTAGCAAGTTGCGTGCTCCCTGAGACGCCATTTCTCGCTCTCGCCCTATTCTAGTCCCCCACGCTATACGGAATCCCCAAGCCTGTCACCTGTGGGGGCATTGACTTCGCCTTGGCTGAGACATGCGCATGACAAAGGGCTGCTGAAAGTGTTGACGTTCATTTCGTGGGGTTTAATATATAACCATTCCGTACGGATAAATATGTTACCACGAGAAGGGTAAATATTTATTCTTGTTCTCATGGATATTTATTTAGCCATACACGAGATGTATAAAAGTCTCAGTGAGTTGAATGTCAAGCCATCCGCACTGGAAAAAGACGAGAAAAACAGGTCGCTCTTGAAGGCGTTCAAATGAACTTCCTAATAAACCTTTTAATTGACGTTTTACCGCATTTTCTAACAGTTCACGGCAGGCCTGACGACGAACTAACAAGGGTTTTCGAGGGACAAGGGGAAGCTGAAGATTTGAGGAAATTTAAATTTAATGAGGAACTAGTTCGCCGATTCGATTCCTTGTCTGCGATCACGCTACCGCTTGGCCATCACCGAGAGAGGGGGAAAGCCTCGTCTGTCAGATTCGTCATTTTCTTTGCCTTTCCCTCTTTTACCCGTGATGTTTTATTCATGCCTCGCCGCTCTTTTCTCATATCTTCCCCGATTCTTTCTATCTCGGTCGACGTTTCGCGCCTCACCGCCCTGGAAATGTAACGACTCTTTCCTTTTTCCCCCTCTTTGTGTCTCTAGAAGGCACAGAGAACAACGTTCCCGACGAAGCTAGACATTACGCTTAATAGAATGGAGAATGATATGTTTGGAGCGGGGAAAAAGTCGTTGACCTCGAGCAAACTGAGACAGAATCGGCGATAGAATACAGAAAAGGGTCAGTCTGGGACTGTAGCCGCAGTGCTATTGCCGCTTCATCGACCGCTTCTCTGCGTCATGTTGTATGGGGATAAAAGGGAAATAGAGGCAAGCGAGGCCGTTTGGGTTCATGAAGCCTATGAGTCTATGAGAAGCCCCAGTGCAAAAAATAAAAGGCTACCCGCAAAATATGCACAAGTTTCTCCTCAACCTGTTTCATGCTTCTGCCATACAAAATGCTCGTTGCGGGACGCATTTCACAACAGCAATCTGTAAACCGAGACGTTGCTTCCGGGAGATCTAGCACTGCTTATAAGATTTTGTATGTTTCGCTGCTATCTCAAATGAAGAACGAGAAATTCATTCAATCCCGCATGCTGCCCAGCACAAGTATGAACTTCATTCGTAACTGCGGAGATACTGCTAATATTCTAAGTCATAAAGGATGAGAGAAAAAAAATTACGACTCATGACTGACCTCTGTCATCTCTAGAAATCGGCACCCCGGATCATTTATCCCCTGTCATTGGGAATCGATGGATTCCTGCGTTCCTTGCTGATCGCGTGATGGAAGCGACAAGAGGGCTTAGAGTAGAGGGACAGAACTGTAGCTTTCAGTCTTGAGTCAGCAGGGGGGAATTATTATTGATTGACGTTCCCAAAGAAGGGAGGTGCTGCCAAGGAATTCTATCCCAGTGCCAAGAAAGGGAAAGGGGGAAAGCGTCTCATGCCCTTGTCTGCACTCGGTGTTCGAGGTCATTCTCTCCATCCTCCATTCATTCGGATGTATCGACATGAATTTGCTCCAGCTGGGAAGCGGAGGCACCGTTCACCTTTACCGCGTACCAAGGGGTCGTTCTCCTTGCTCATTCTCCTATCAGCGGGTTTGGGGAGGCAGGTGCAGTCAGTCGAGAGAATCAGCCTTGTCAGCTAGTCTTGGTAAATCTTATTGATGGCGTTTTTGGTTGAAGGAAAAAAAATTGAGGGCGAGGCAGCCCCGAGAAAGGGAAGATAAAAATAAGATATCGTCCGTATCGATTTTCATGCTCGGACAGAGCCTGAACTCGACGCAGTATCTCCAAAATGGGATTTTGACGAGTATTTCCTCTTTTTTTTTTTAAATCTGCCCTCCTCCCTCTGGGAGGGCGGGTTATTCAGGGTAGCATATATCCTCTTCCCCACCCCTTCATATCCCTATTCCCCAAGCGGGTTGGAGATGATCTTCGTTCCCAGCAACAAGTCCCCTTCCGAGAAGGGAAGAATGATGAGCCCGCGACATGCAATGCAAACCTCTCGTGCCTGTTTTCTCATCTCCGGGATCCTGGAACATGCCACGTCAGTGTTCATAGTTAAAAGGAAAGTTCTCAGGTTGGAACAAGGGGATTTCAGTATTTCCAGATTCCAACGTGGAATCGCTACTGCGTTCAAGGGAAGAGGTAATAAACTGTATTGGAATAATCTCTGTCATGCGATTGCCCGGAAAAGACTCACCCTTATGATAAGGCACGATTGTACCTCATGGAGTGAGAAAATCGTGATGCAGAAAGGCCTTTTCTAATTAAGTTCCTCTTTTTCGTGACTCTTGCATCAATGCATGCCAAAAATAGGCAGATCCCATCCCCACGCGACATTTTCAGAGCCCCCCCGAGTTTTACCTAACGGTCTGGTACCTTCACACGGTCAAGGATATTATTGATATTGTTCTTATTCCGGTGACAACCCAAAAGCCGACCTTTGGCAAGAACTGTATGGCCGATTTCAACGGGCTTCTGATGCGTTCTTGGCAGTGGCTGTTCTTCAAAATACTCATCTAGTACTGAAGGTACTGAAAAGTGCTTATAATCCTAATACCTCGACGGAACTAGAGCGAAAGCTGTTGAACCGATTTCACCGATGGACTCCTTGAATCAATGATATTACGCTATCCCCTATCCCATTTACTAAATATTTTAAACTATTGGAAGTAGGGATGGGTTATTGACCAGTCAACTAAAAACATGTCAATTGACTGGTCAATTGACAAGTCAATATGGTCAACTATGGTCAGTTTTGGTAAATAGGACAAACTCTTATTTATTTATTTATTTTTCTTCGTAGTTTTTGCACCATTATGGTGACTCACAAGTGATAGACTAGGGATGGGAAGTTGACTGGTCAACATGGTCATTTTAAACCATTTGCAGAAAATAATGGTTATGAGCCCAACAAGAAGAGGTAGGCCTTATGACTATATGATCATAAATGACCATGTTGACCAGTCAACATCTCATTGCTAAGATAAATTTAATGTTCTAACTCATGCAATCTATAGGGTAAACAATAATGAATCCTGTTTCATTGCTAGATTAATTTTTATTTAGGCATAGGCATAGGCATAACCCAATTACTTGTCCCATGATCACAGACTGAGAGAATAATTTGATGCTCTGATGCATACTATTAGCCAGGACCACGATTGACCTTGCGCAAAACTAAAGTTCTAAAGCTGTTACTTAGATCTTGAACCTTAACTTTGAAAGTCCTTGAGGCTATAAAACTTTGAACAGCAAGCTATGCCTGCACACACACTCTGCATCACTCAGGTGAAAGGTCATGGTAGTTTGAGCATTTGCTAAAATGTTTTCATACGCAACAGGTGCCACAGTCTAGGTGTTTGGCAGGCTGCATGAACAGATCTTAAAAATTGAACTGGCTCTTTGGTTTTAGTGCTGGGGGATAAATGACCACAGTTATGAGCTCTATAAAAAAATATATTAATTTACTGAATTAAAAAAATTAGTGGTCAATAATGGTCAATTAAAAGGTGGTCAATTGACCGCCCCATCCCTAATTGGAAGACTAGGGAAGCGAATCCATGGAATCAGAATTCGGGAACATGAATGTCAGACGGCAAAATAAGCAAAATGGTTTTCCCCTCACTACATACGTTTCTATATTTATTCTCTACCTGGACTCTGAAAGTCAGCAAACACTAAAATGCTAATTAAATATACTGGAGGGTAAATAAAAGCGAATGCCACAGGCTAAATGATATCCAGGGCCTTGCTGCACTTCTGAGAACTTCTATTCTCATTGAAGGAGAGCAAGTACAGAGTGCTTACGCCTCCCCCTGAACTCTGTGGCAAAACTGTGGGATTGTGAAGCTAAACAGGCTCGAATTTTTAATGGAATATTAGAATACACATTTACGTTTCTTAGTATCGTGTTTGCCGAGCATCGGCCAGGATGACGGCCTGAAGGCGACGTGGTAGCGAATTCAGGAAGAAGTCTGTGACCAACTCAAAAGAACTGCTTCGACGTGTTCCAATTGGCGATTGCAGGGAAAACGCCGTCCAGGAGGGGCACAAATCACTAGAACTTCAATTCTACTCAACCCATGTTTTCACAAGCAGATATCAGGGGTATTCCTTGGCCATTGCTGAAGAATTCGGGGTTTGTCCGAAGTTGCCGTGTGGTGAGGGCTCTGAAATAAGGAACCTAGTCATGAGGAAGTGTCTCTTGGCCAATGTCCAAGACGTTCTCATGCTCCTGCAGGAAGGGGATAGCATGTTAAGCAAATTAACTTCCATAAATATTGATCAGGTGAGATTCCTGACAATGCTCTTCTCGCCTGTGAACCATCATCCAGGTCGGCGGTGGGAACAAGTAATACTGAAATTTAGGTTCTAAATGTAGAATTTAATACTTAATCTAGAAATAGAGCTTGATTTACTTCGCCGTCTCACAGTTTTGCTACTAAGGTGAGGACCGAGGGTTTGTGGTCAGCTGTAGGAAATTAAAAACTGACAGGCTCTTGAAAGCCTCATCAGGGAAACATAGACTCAGGTATTTCTGCGATAGACATGTTTTTTTTTATTATGTTGGGCTGCCTTCTGCTTGATACACGTCATGACTGGACCCTATTAGCTTCATACTCTGAAGATGATACGAGGCAGTCAAGTCTGACTGTTGTTCGATCACGTGTATAAATTATTCACAATTCTTCACTTCTAACTCATGGTAGAATGTACAAGGTGAGCAGTAAAACCTGGAAACCTTGGGAATCTGTGCTATGATATATAATAGTCTTCTACGAGCCATTTTAGTGGTACTTGATGGGACCATTTCTGGGCGATTCCCCTTTTAGTAGTTTTCATCGTGCAGAGATATATTCCTTTTTATGTCACATGATAAGTTTAGTGTCTATGTTTAACAACGTATTCGAATTCGGAGAATGCTGCTTCAGTAATTAATTTTTTTTTTCCACTGGGTGTATTGGCCGCTTGCATGTCTACCCACTTTCCATATCCGGGGAAGCATTTGAATTCACATGACAAAAATAATCTCTTGGATTCATGGCGGGTGTTTTCATTGCTTCGAAATGCCCCGTTTTGTTGACTCAGTGGGGAGTTATGATGATTAGAAAAAGTTTCCTCCCCTCCCACCCCCCAACATATAATGAACATCGCACGAGGACCAAGTGAGGACCTAGTTAGATTTGGTTTACAGGGAAGACAGTCTGCTATTGAATGCTTAGCGCGAATGAACCTTTTTCACACATGAGGATATTGAATGAGTCTAGTTGCGGATGCCTTACATTTCTTAGTTTTTTGTTGCTGGTGGGAGCGTTTCCTCAGAGTACTTACTGTTTTGTGCTATTCCGGTTTTTTTTTTTTGCCTTCTAGTTTAATCTGTAATTCTTGCTTGCTGTACTACTGTTGCTACCGTGATTGAAACTCCATTCCAACTTGATTGTTTTCTCTAGCAATCCTTTATTTTAAAAAGAAACGATGATGCGATCTTTGGGATGTGTGTGCTTTAGCGCAAAACTTCCGTAAATGTTTGTGGCTTCACGCTTTAAAGTTTTTACCAAATGGGCATGAGGTCTCTTTGGTTGCAGAAGAAATTCACTAATAGTAACTCTATGAAAATTAGAAAACTTTCGTTCGGAAGGATGGTGTGGACTGGATGGTCGTTCCTCCGTACCTGTTTGCTCTTCTGTCTTTCGCCATTATTTCGTGTCCCCCATTATTTTGTTTGTATCATCCTATGAGGGTGCACTCGAAGCAGACTCGCTACTGGGTAGGACTCTGCCCAGGCTGTTTTTAATTATTATTTCAAGCATTTTTTAAACGCTATTTACAGGGGATTCCAAGAGGATAAGATGCAATGAAAGTTTCCATTCCTGACCAAAAGCAGATGATGATGTGAATAATGCATCCACCCTTCATGACCTCTCATGGAATTAGATACCCTTCGTGATAGTGTGGCATTGCTTCTGCTTCTGAAAATATCTTATTGTCATGAACACATTCCATGAAATTAATAGTCATTGTTGCACAAGCCGATGAGATCATTGAGTTCATTCCGAACGTGAATTCACTTATGGAATTTCTGCATAAGAGTCAGTTCCGAGGAGGTAGTGTTTGCCTTAACTCTTTCATGCTCAAAATTTTCAGGAAAAATACCTTTGCTGTATGTGTTTTTAATTAAAAAAAATTGTAATTAGATGCATTTATTTGAGTGATACAAGGTGATTCTGGAAATAAACCACCATGCTGCCTCAAAACATCACAAACAGTTGGTACATTAATGTGCCACCATGCTTCATTGCATTAAAAGATGGTGGTACTATTTCTGTACCACTGACAATGAAAGAGTTAAACCTGGAAAGGGCAGGGAATATCAACTGAGAAATATCATGTCAGTCATGGAGGACTTGAATTTGAGTGATTTTCAGTCAGCGTGTTCCTGTAAAGACACCCTCCGCATACGCGCCGCCTCGAGGCTTGGATTAGGAGATATTAACGCTTTCTGAGATCTGGGATAGGGAATTAGATCCTCATCCGTATAATCTTTTTATTTTTGTCTTCATTCATTCATGGGGGAGCAGAGCTGGCATGCTGAAGCATTAATACCTGGGATTCGGATGCGTGCATGAAGATTTTGACGCAGGCGATCTTTTTCCGGAAGTGTCTTGGGAAAACCGAAATGTCTATTGTCTACCTAAGATTTACGATGTTTTGTCGCTTTGAAAGGATTTTCATCTCCTGTCGTGGAAACAAGGAGGACAACAACGGCCGAAGAAATGTGCATGAAACCATCAGGCATCCTGCCAATTTGGCACAGCTTTTCCCTTGCTTCCTTTTGACTTTCCTAGCATTGTTTTTTTTTTTTCGCTTTCCCCGCCTCTTGGCGGAAGTCCTCCATAAGAGATTTGGGGGTTCATAAAAAGCCTGGCGAGTGATGGAAGCCTCACGAGTCAGAGAAGAAATGTCTGCACTTGGACTTTTCGAGACGCTCGGAACGGGAGTTGTAGCGGTCGTTGCCACGAAAATAGGTTGATTTTACTGAATTACAGAAGCGGATTTTCAACAGACATCTTCTCATTCATGGAAGAAAGGGGAGTTGAAGGGATGAATGAAAGAGGTTCGAGGAAGGAGGGTAAAAAGGGAAGAACTTGCTCGGGGTGTAAGCTCCTCTCAGCCAGAAGGAGGAGATCGATCCCCATCGATCTCCCCCTCCTTTCTCTTCCCTCTCCTCCCTCTCTCTCTTTCCTTTCCTCCTCCTTTTACTCTTTCTCTCTCGCACAGGGCTTTCTGGTCTCCTTCACAGGCACAGTTCCATCTGTTATTGATGGGTCTGAATGAAAGGAATTCATGGATATCTCCGTACCAAGGTTATCGATATTGTTCATCTGGGCTAGTCGGTCCTCAAAATAGAGCAGGAGGAGATTGCTGAGTGCTATGTTTGAGCCGGAGTCTTGGAGGAAACGACATGCGTTACTTGATTCAGCTCTTTGGAAGGAGATGCTCGGAAGATATTCAGGGGCTATGAATCAGGAGCAGGGCACGTGTTCGGGAATACTAGGGGAGGTTAAGTAGGTCACGGGTGCATTCGAAGGTGCAAGGCTGCACCCATGGTAAACAAATACAACAGACCCTCCCCCTCTATTCCCTTACTAGTCACCTCCGCAAAAATCCCCCTAGTCCTGCTTCCCTTTCTGGCAAAGCCATCTTCTCAGCTAACAAAACATCCTGTTGGACGGCTGCTCGTAGCGAATAGATGCCTTTGCAACCGTAAAGGCAAAAGGTCCTTTGTCAGTATGGCGACGAGCCAAATCTCCCATCTAATTTGCTCCGTGCTATCACTGCGCAAAAATGTCCCCATTTCTCTTTGCATGTGTTTCTTTTTGCAAGGAGCACCTTTCTATCAGCATTTTGGCAAGGCATGGCAGTTTGTTTTATGAACCGATAAATTTTTTTTTTCTTTTTCAGGAGAAATATGATAACAACTGGTGGATCGGGCGATTGGTGAAGGAAGGCTGTGACGTGGGTTTCATTCCATCCCCGGTGAAGCTGGAGACGTTGAGACTGCAGCTGGTCTCCCAAGCCAAGGGCTCTTCCCGGCCCTACTCGAGCAAGAGTTCCTCGGCGGGGAACCTGGGAGCCTTGGGAGTGGGAGATGTCCTCGGAAACAGTAAGGGTGGGCCGGGGAGCTCCTCTCGGGGGTCCACACCACCCACTCCTGCAGGTGAGGGGGCCACACCCAATTATATGGGAACGCTCCTGATGCATTCCCCCACTCACATACACTCAAGGCTCACACCTGAATTCTTGGGGGAACTTTCACCCTCGCCTTTGTTTTACTGGCGTGGTTCACTTGTAGGAACTTGACCTGCATCAGGAAACTTCGAGTGTCGGAAACTTTCTTCCTTTCAAATAACTTCCCTCCGTTTCGGCTTGAGGATGTTTCAGCTTCGTTTTAAGTGATCAGAATTCATTTCCCAGTTAATACGAGGCACATTTTTCGAATGCATGGGAAATGAAATAGCAATCAGAGAAAAGAGCTTGAGTAAACTTTAGTTTCTGTGATTTGATCAGCATTTCAAGTGAGGATAAATGATTGGGCTCCGTTTGAGCTGATATCAAACTTCCATGCTTTTGTGTATTGCGTGTTATTTTTTCCTTCTTCCCTCTATGGATGTTTGGCATGAATGTTCGATGTTGTCGTGAGACCCCTCTTCCGCACATTGTGCTTGTCTCGCAAGCAAGGGCACTGGACAAACAAATATGTGTAAAAGTCCGAAGAGTACATATTTCTATGGGAAAAAGAGGTGTGTTGTGTGTGCGTGCGTGTGTGGAAATGCATCCTTCTCATTCTGTCCCCTATCTATTGGGTGTGTCCCTCATTTGTCAGGAGATTCGGTTTTTGTGGAAAAAAAATTCACTCCTGGCAGAAGAGGATGGCATCTTCTCATACTGGATTTTGAGTTTCATTCTTTCTTTCAGCTTTCTTTGGGCCACTGAAAACTTGCATGGTTTATTCTTCTTCCTGTCGACTTCCCTTGTGAGTGCTGTCTCTGAACAGTGTCTTGACTGTGATGGAAGATTCTGAGGTATGTAAGATAAATTATGTCAGATCAACTAGAACAAAAAGGCAGAGAAGTGCTGATTCAAGGTTGTTTGTAGTTGGCCCATCTTTTTTTAATCTGTCTATGTTCTAGGCATCTGAAATCCCAATAATCTGAATTTTGACTGACCATTATGGAGCCTCAGTTACTGTATTCTTCACTATGCATCCAGGATCAAGGTTCATTTTTTAGAATGAAATATGGTCTTGCCTAGCTTTAATTAGTCGTGGCTACCCGCTGTGAACTGGTGGAGCTATTGTGGTGCATACATGGCACATCTACTTTTCGCACCATGAGGTTTTCAAGCAAATGTACCCAATTCTACTTGTAAGATGAAACAAAATGGGCAAGTTATACTTTTGTGAATTAGTGGAAGCAAGCTGAATCTAGTCCTCCATGGTGGTCTGGCTTGAAACTGGATGCTTTGCAGTGACTTTACAGCTGCTGACCATCTTGGATGTACTATCCCATCAATACTGTAATGTCGATACACAATCTAAGTTAGATCTAAGATAAGTCAGCTTAGATTGTGTATCAACTGTATTGCTGTATTATAGCAATGCTGTTGCTACTTTGCTACTTGAGTTGAAGCAGCATTCTGAAGAATTGCCTCAATAGAAAAATACCAGAACTGAAACTCCCTCATTGATGATGAAGGCAGAGAGAACAAAAGATTTAATAAACATAGAGAAGGAGGGTATTATTAGGATGCTGCAAAAGGTATCACTTGGCGAAATTTTTAGCTTCAACCTGAGTGGATATGGGAGAAAATGTATTCATAAGAATGCAAGTGTTCAAGCAGCCTTACACTTCAGGGAATGAATCATGTCTGCTGGTTGTGGTGAAATGACCAAAGTGTCAGAAATGTGGTCAATTTCAGTTTCTTTATTTCAAAGTAATTACAGCTCATCACTAAAAAGTTGGTCATTTTCCAGGATAGAACAAAAGGTATTACTACACTTGTTGGTCATGAGATCAGTCTATTTATGGATATGATATACAAGTGGTGATGTAGAACTAGAATTGATTATTGACCATTGGTCAATATATTGGCCATTTCCATTTGTAAAATCCTTTTGCCATAGGCCAACAGTTCCTTGACAGCAATTGTTGTATCTTCATGCAAGATGTGAAGATCAGAAAAATAGTGTAGGTTTTTTTGTTAACGTCATTGCATATGCCTTATTACATGGGTATTATGTATCAGAGCCATGCCAGAATATTACCAGGAGTTAGCACTACTTTGATGGTAATATGTCATTCTGCATATTTGTCAGGCATGGATGTGGAGCCAAGTGCCCTGGACTCAAATTTGGGTGAAGATTCTGATTCGTTGAGCAATTCCAAGACAGGGAAATTGACGACACCAGGGAAGGAGAAGCGGAAGCCTTTCTTTAAGAGGCAGGAGAATATCCCACCTTATGATGTTGTCCCTTCCATGAGACCTGTTGTCCTTGTTGGTCCCTCACTCAAGGGTTATGAGGTCACTGACATGATGCAGAAGGCTCTTTTTGACTTCCTCAAGCATAGATTTGAGGGCAGGTGAGTGCTTATTGCACCAAGACTTAGTCTTTCATCAAAAATTTGGATATCTGGCATTGAGGTTTTTCTTCAGGAGACTTTTTGATTTTTGGCTTGCTACAGGGTGGGGCATAAAAAGGTCAACATTTTGAAATTCATAACTTGTTAATTATTGCAGATAGAAACAAACAAAAAATTGAATTTCCTGCAGAAACTCTCAAAGTTTTTGTCCTTTATGCAAATTGTGCACACTTTTTCTCTTCATATTTGCAAATGCTCAAAAGGAGTTTTGCATAACTTTCTGTAGTGTTTATTTTTTTTATACGAGCAACAGTTTGGATGAGAAGTCTTTCAGATCAACAACTGACTTATAATTTCTTAACAATTTAATTTCTGAACAATTTAAGAATGGTACTTTAAGAAGTGCCCAAGAAAAACCCTAGATCAGTTGCTGAACTGAAGGACTTAGTCATCCAAACTGTTGCTAGTATTAAGGAAGAAACATTCCAGAAAGTAATGGAAAACTTTTTTTGAGCATTTGTAAATGTGTAGAGAAAAGGGGTGCACAATTTTAAAACCTTGTATGGACAGGACAAAAACGTTGGGAGTTTCTGCAGGAAATACGACTTTCTATTTGTTTCTAACTGCAATAATTAACCTGCTATGGATTTTTAAAATACTGACCTTTTGTATGGCCCACCCTGTATAAGAATCAGGTTTTGCATGCATGGGAAAACCTCCATTAAAATGTGCCAGCCAGGGCAAACAGAGGAATGGATGGATCATATTGGGTAACTGCTCAACATAGATAACCTTCTAAGGTTTAGTTTGAATGCCCTAGGCCTAATTAGAGCTGAGCCTAAGCCATTCCAACTGATAATGAAAAGGAAAGTTTGTACCTCTGTTAGGTAGCTCCCCAACATGACCACCATTTCTTCCTTATGGCTGTATGTTTGGGTGAAGGTTATTTCTGCTGTATGACATGACTCATTTCTTACAACTTTCTTGTGAAATCTGCATATATAAGATTCAGTGGAGGGTTTAACAAAATCTGTCATTGTGCATTGAGTGTGAGGAACAGGTTCTCATACCTGCTTGTACCTTTGGGTAGAATCATCATCACAAGAGTGACAGCAGACATCTCCTTGGCCAAACGATCTCTGCTGAATAATCCTTCCAAGAGAGCCATCATGGAGCGCTCGAACTCTCGTTCAACCTGCTTAGCTGAGGTCCAGGGCGAGATAGAGCGAATATTTGAGCTTGCCCGCACTCTCCAGGTACCGTGCTTCCTCCTTACTTCTTTGTAAGAAAGAAAAGACACGGTCAAATAGTTCATTCTTTGCCTTTCCAGCTGGTGGTACTCGACTGTGATACAATCAATCATCCCTCCCAGCTGGCCAAGACCTCCTTAGCCCCCATCATTGTGTACTTGAAGATTTCTGCTCCAAAGGTCAGTCTAACTCTCATGGTGATTAATAAACCAGCATGAATGGAGTGCTCAGGCTCTCTTCCTCGTCTCTGTAGATAAATATAGAAAAACCTGTATTAAAATTAAAAAGCCCATAAGCCTCCTCTTTCAATTGACTGTGCATCAAGAAAGCAATTAACAATAGAAAGTGAAGACATTTTTTAGCATCATTACATATTAATATCATTGCTTGTAGGTGCTTCAACGCTTGATCAAGAGTCGTGGGAAGTCCCAGAGTCGGAACCTTAATGTCCAGCTGGTGGCAGCTGAAAAACTGGCTCAGTGTTCCCCAGATCTCTTTGACATTGTGCTGGACGAAAATCAGCTCGAAGAGGCATGCGAACATATGGCAGAATGCCTTGAGGCATATTGGAGGGCCACCCACCCATCAGTGATGTCCAATGCCACTCATGACCCTCATGACCTATCGGCAGGGTCTGATCCTCACAGTCGTGGCACTCCACCTCCAAGAGTTGAGAGTTCTGGCCAAATACGCCCCCATCCAGCCCCTGGTGGTGAGTCCTTGCAACCCCTGCAGACATTTACTTTTGTTATTATCAAGCCCTGAAATGATGTTTATAGGTACTCATATTTATTATTATTAACCACTTGAGTGCAAATGTAGTGAGCACTTGCCCTTGATGGTATGGAATGCAACTTGCAAAGTGGTGTGACTATTTGTTTGCATATATTTTTTATTTGCAGTTTTGTAATGCAGTTTGTGACTTCAATGAATAGGATGAATATTTTGTGAACAGAAAACATGAAACACCTGTCTGCTGTGGTAACTCACAAGCAATAATCTAATATTTTTTGGCTTGTATAAATATTTGTCATACTCACTCACGATTACTCTCTGTATGGTGTCTCAAACTTTTCCATAAAGTGATTACTTTTGTTCCCACTCGCACAAGAAAAATTTCAGAGAAAAATAAAAAGTCAAAATTTGAAAAGTTAAATGTTTAGTCTGGTCTCATTATTGATGTTCAGCATCATGGCTACCAAATTTTACAAAAGAAAGTAGTGATGCTTTCAATTACATTTTCACCATCCCATTCCTTGTGTCCATTGTGTAAATCATGTGTTCATTATGACATTCAACTCATGTTTTGCCTTCATTGTTCATAAAGTCTGTGTTTCTTTTGGAACTGTCCAAGATTCCCCACCATTTTGATGTCATGAGTTTCTCCATTATCCTTGTTTCATTGTTGATTGATTGCTTTTATAAGTTAATATCTACCAAAAAATTTTACTGCTTGTGCTTCAGGTTGACTGCAATTTCTCTTCCTAAGTACTGAAGTTCTATTCATGATTGACATCAATGAACAAAAAGGAGTCATACGAGGTCCGACAATAAAATAATGAGACTGACAACACTGTAATGTGTGTGGCAACACTGGGTAACTGGCGATTGCTGTAACCTGTCAGTGCATGTTTTTAGTCTCTCCAGTAACAAACTTGTCATGATACTTCTAGTGATTGCAAAGCAGTACCACTTTACCTAAAGTAGTGTTAGGGGCACTCGTCAAAAAGATGGGTGATAATATTATGAACAAAGAATCAACATGAAATTTGTAATCAAACTCGAGAAAAAACCAACTGAAGTCCTTGAAATGTTGAAACGAGGTTACAAAGATGAGGTTATTTCCAGAGCAAAATGTCTTTGAATGGTGTGAACGCTTTTCTGAAGGAAGGGAAGAAGTTGAGTTTGACAGAGGGCCTGGATGTCCGACAACTTCAAAATCAGATTGAGAACTCTGGTGCAAAATGATTGTCGTCTTGTTATCAGAATGATTGCCGAAGAACTGTGTATCAATAGAGAGACAATATGATTGATTTTAATGTAAAGTTCAACATTTCAAAGATTTCAGTTGGTTTTTTCCCAAGTTTGATTAGAAATTTCACGTTGATTCCTTGTTCATAATATTATCACCCATCTTTTTTACTAGTGCCCCTAACACTACTTTAAGTAAAGTGGTACTGCTCTGCAATCACTAGAAGTATCATGACAGGTTTGTTACTGCACAGACGTAAGACATGCACTGACAGGTTACAGCAATTGCCAGTAACCCAGTGATGCCACATACGTTACAGTGTTGTCAATCTCGTTATTTTATTGTCAGACCTTGTAGGACAGTGTTTTCAAATTGTGATATTTTCATGATATTACTTTCTACTTCATTTGTTCACCACTGGTATCAATGCATCTTATGTTCATGCCATGCATTTCCGTTGGTTTATCTGGGAGTCATTGTTGCATTGCTATTTGGAGGTCTTATTGGGAGGGTCTTATATTGAGTATTGATATCTGTATTAGCTCAATATAATTTTTCAATTGATTTTATGAGATTCCAATGAAAGCAGCACAGGTAGAACTACAGCTACAGTGGGTATCTGTTTTGTGGCTTTGATCATTTGAATTTGAGAACTTCCATAAGGTAATCTTACAATATTGCAAAACTGCTGCTGCAACTGCAAGTGCATATGCAATGCTGATCCCAAGACATCAAGGGTCATCCAAGCACCCTCTCACAAAACAGCATGTTATTAAATTTCTGGTCACTGCAGGTTTTGTCCCATTCCCATAAGGGACAAAGCCACACAACAGATGCTTTAGTTAAATACACATTGTGCATGCACCCACAACAGTGTTGGCAAATTCTTGTACCTGCTGTGGAAATATTCCTGCTCCACCTGTGCTGTTTTTTGTTTTCCTTGAAACCATCCTCATGCTTTTCCTGCTCTTAGTACACTTTCCTATCTGAACATTATAAACAAAATGCTTTTCTTTTTGGGGGGGCAGGATTTGCAGGGAGGCGGGCATCAGCACGAATGCCATCATCATCCATGGACCAAGACGCAGGTTCGTCTCTGGGCTCAGTGAACCGGACGAGTGAACCTAGGAGGCAGTTGCCACAGCCTCCCGTCCCAGATGATTATTATGTGGAACCACGGGCAACCTACCGCCGCCCTGTCAATGCCATCTAAAGAATTTCCCACCAACTCCCAATCCTCCTGCCTAGTGCTAGCATGGATGGTGATTTTTCTCTGCGTTTTGTGATACAGAAATAACGAGGCTAGGATACACCAATCACAAGCTGCACTTGTGCTTGCTTCTTCCCACCTTTTCTTGATACCTTGAGTGCTTGTCCCCTCTTAGGCTGCTCCATGCTGAATGAAATCTGATGAAACAGGACTGAAAAAACTGACTTTCTGCATGAATATCAGTCATCTTCTCCTGTTATGCTTTGCTCTCTTCCAATTGGAGGCTTTCCTTCTCAAACCTGATTCATTCAGCACTTTCACTACAGGTGTTGAATCATTTCTCAAATATTTCAGTTTTCCATCTTAATGGATAGAATAGAATGCATCCAATCCTCTCATGACTCAGCAAGTCCTATTTTAACCCCATTTTGGTTTAACAGATTATAGTTTGCATTCTTCTTCCATTTTGAATCTTGGTCTTCGAGGAATTTAGGAATCTAGCGATTTTGTGGTGGATCGTTTTTCCAAGGAATCCTGTGAAATTTTGCAAATTGAGGATTTTCAATTCCTCCTTATTTCCTTGAACTGAGAAGTGCTTTTGATTTATGATTGACTAGGACAAAGCCTGAAACATTTTCAAACATTTTCTATACTGTGGAATTGCCCCACAGTTTGGGAGAATATCTTGGTTTTCAAGGTTTTAATTTGTTCATGCAATTAAACTTGGAAGGAAGATCACATTGTACTTCTTTGAGAGCAGCTATGGTTGCAGCAAGAATTTTGGATATTTTTTAAGTTTTTTTCTTCCATGATCTGCCATGGTTGTTTTGGGATGCATTAGGCCTATTACTTTTTATGCAACTCAGATTTTTTATGAATTGCATTCTTGGCTGCTGACTGATACTGAGGAAATTTTCTAGTCTCCCGGTTGTATCTTTGGGAATCATGACCTGGATTATCTTCTCCAAGCTTTCAGAAGTTGTATCCATTCATTCTGACTTTCAAAGGAAGGATTGGATATTCTTTTGCTCTGACTCTGAGAAATTTTTGGGCTTTTCATACTGAATTTGGAACACATGCCTTCTGGTGGGGCTTTGAGGCAATCATAGGACTGGATCTTTCTCTCCTTAATCTTATTCCTATTCATGGTAAGCCACATGATCTAGACTTTGGTAGTTGAGACCAATCAAAGGGCATATCATGAGACTTGCTTTCCCACAACTTTTCCATGAAAGTTGTGTCCACTTTCCTTAAAAGAATTATGGAAAATTGCCAGGAAAAGAACTGAAAGTTGGATTAGTAGCAAAACTGATGTATGTTTTAGCTTCATGAAGGGATGCACAAACACTGAATAGTATAACTATGAATGCATAAAGGATGAGGTCCAAGTGGAAGCTCAAAATTGCTGTGTTGACTTCGTTCAGCTAATCTGATTCATAAGGTGTTATTAATGTGGAGAGTTAAATCTGAAGTTGATGTCAAGTTTTTTTTTTCAAGTTCCTACCCTTTGCTCCTGATCATGATTAACTTGAGGAAGCTTTGCATAAAATTTTTTTGCAATCAGATTTTGAAATCAGCAAGTTAAGAGACATGCTCTAGCCTGTTCAGTACAAATTTCTGTGCTTTGTTGGCCAATAACAGGAATGTAAAGCGTTACTAGTTGTGCAATCTAGGAAGGGATTAAGGGAGTCTGAACCTCCCAAAGGTCTGAGAAGCTTTTCCCCTCCCCCATTCCCAGAAGTGTTTACAGGGGAACAATAACAATAGTGGATATATTTATTCAGACTGGAAAGTTTCCGCTCAGAACCACCCAGCCCCAGCAAACTCTCTAAAGGTTGCGGCAGACAACCGCTCCCCCCCCCCTTCCCCCCCCAAAAAAAAAGAAGAAATTAAATCTGGTTGCACCACTGAGAATTACGTTGAACTGTATCAATCCCCAAAGGAAATCATAGTTCGTTCGAGTCCCTCCACGTAATAGAAGTCTTCTCGTTTCCTCGAAAGTTATAGCAATTAAGCAGGAAACCGCCGTGCATGGGGTCGACCTCGCTTGCGAGTGCAGTACTATGTGTAAATCCGCCGTTTTGAGGCGAGAGGAGACCCTTGAGAAACAGGCCAGACGCTTAATGCCAATCCAGCTTCCTTTTGCACACGTGACTTTTCATTCTTCGTGCCTTTGTCGCTTTATAATCGAATACTTTCATAGAAGACTCCGATTTGCCAAAGTTCGGTATCAGAACACTGCCCATTAAAAATTCAATTGCATACCTTCCCACAGAGGATGAGAACTTGTGTGCCATCCAGCTAGTTAAAAAGTATTTTACTGATGATTTAGTTTCAAGTAGTGAACACTTTCAAAGAAAAGGTAACCTTGATTACATAACCAGGAGTAGACTTTGCAATACCAGTTCAAGCAACTTAAGCGTGATTTTCGAAAGATGAACTGAGTAGAGGTGTGCGCGTGAGTGATTTTTGACTCTAGATCACTCACGATCACGAGAGGAAAACCGAGTCGTCACTTATTTTCACGCAAACTCGAGATTCAATATTACTTGAGAATCACGAACACGCACGATCATTGCAAGCGTGAATTAAACTCACGCAAAATCATGCGTGATCCCGCGTGACTCGTCACGCGTGATAGTCACCGCTTCGTTTTTCGTTGAAAATAATTCCAATTATTTGTTTCGATATTGTATATAAATAGTAAAATGAACAAGTAAGTGTGGCACACGAGTACGATTAGAGCTGTTTTTGAAAAGCAAAGAGAAATAACTTGCTGAAATAGTTCCATCCTTATAAAAGCTAGAACTACTATCCTATTTTAAGCCCCTATTTCCTAAGTCCTAAATACCTATTCCACAAGAACGCAGAGCTGGATGCGAGTGATACAAGGCCATGCCACAGCCGAACTGAGGAAATTAACTCTCGGACAACGAATGAAAGGGAAATAGAGCAACTTTTGGTATATATATATNTTTCCTAAGTCCTAAATACCTATTCCACAAGAACGCAGAGCTGGATGCGAGTGATACAAGGCCATGCCACAGCCGAACTGAGGAAATTAACTCTCGGACAACGAATGAAAGGGAAATAGAGCAACTTTTGGTATATATATATATATATTTTTTTCTTTTTCTCAAGGAAAAGCTTGCATGAGAATATGGAACTTTCGACGTTCCCATGGGTTCGATCTTCGATCCTTGTTGAAGGATATTAGAAATCTGGCAGTCTATTTATAATAAAAAAATTGGAGAGAAATAAAAAAAAACGATTACTCACGATCACGCGCGAGTGAATTCTGTTCTCTTCACGATCACGATAAAGACATTCTCCTAACCTCTGTTAGAGTAACGACTCACGAAAAAGGTCGTGAGTCCCGCGTGAATCACGTGTGAAGCGGGACTCACGCACGCCTCTAGAACTGAGTCGCTCAAGCACCAAAGTAGAGGGATTTCGTAATCCACTCTTCGACGTAGTTTCTGCATCGGGGAATGGAAAAATTGTCTGAGATAATGAGAGGAAGTGTAAAAGGAGTTGGTTTCTTTCGACATGCATTTATCCGCCCGGAAGCAGGCGGAAACTGTAACTGAATGAGTTTCGGATCACGCCATTCCCCTCTCATTCCCCGCGATTTGAAAAATGTGCAACTTATGACTTCAACCCAGATAGCTATACAAATCCATTTCTTAATTCTTGGAATACAAATTCTAATTTCCTTGCACTCAACGATATTCTAAAAAAAAAGATGACACTTGGCGAATAATATCTTATTAAAAAGAGAAACTCAACGCCTCGTTAAGCTTGTTGGCAGAATATAGCCCTTATTTCCTGTTTCTCTGCTCTAAAATTCCTTGCCGCAGAGGGGAATGGACCTCTCCCGGGAAGGATAGGGCCTGAAAAAAAAATGAATTGTAGGCGCCCGGGCATTCTCATTCCCACTGCCTAGAATTGATTGGAACGCTTGGCTCCGTTAGATCAGATCAAATCAGACTAACGATATGCGTGACGGGGTCATGGGGCGAATGGATTAGCCGAGGCAGGACTGGACGATGTTGCATTCATGAACGGCTTCGAATGGATCTCATTAGGTTTCTTGCGGTGAAAACATTTGGCCTATGTGAAAGTACATGTGTTAAGGCCAAACTTGTCGATTGTGCAGTTGTTCTCAATCTTTTCGATCCCACGACCCACCTTAACGACTGCAAGTGATCCAAGGCTCACTCCAGACTTATCTGTATCATTATATTATTATAGCTGTATCGTTTTTGTTCGTGTGCCAGTTATTGTTTTTTAACGAAAATTTACGGATACTTGTTACGGCCCACCTGCGGCACCTCCACTGCCCATCAGTGGGTCGCAGCCCACCGGTTGAGAACCTTGTGAATCTCTTGATCGATAAAATCTCTTAATGCCTTGCTGCGAATATCGCCAGTTCGAAGACATCACGCAGACTCGTACAAAAGTGTCACCGTTGAGTCAACGGTGAATCACATGCGGATTAGGGGTTCAACGGTGGCCAAGAAAGCAAGGTTTGAGCAAACTTCTCTGAGTTGAAACGGTCATCAAAGATACCAACAACGTAGGAAAACCCGATCGATGGCGAGAAGGAAAACTCTCGATACTTGCATGCACCTTCCGACTTTTATCAGCCGACAAGATGAGGTGCCATCACGGAAACCGCTCACGGGGAAATCTCCCTCGATGCACATGGCCGGCCTTGGGAGGGAAAAGGAAGGACCTGTAAGCAGATTGCACAATTTCCCTCCTTCTTCCGTCACTTCCCAACTTCCTTCCCCTTCGGTAATTATGAATAATGCCGGTAAAGTACGGGCTACATTTGAGGACAAATGATTCATAGAGGAAAGGAAATGACCTGAGACTGAAAAGTGGCGCGCAACGCATCCATCGCGAGAGTTCACTGTGGATTCCAGCATGCACAAATTCCTTGAAAATGCAAACCAATAGATCTAATTTTTAAATGCATGAAAACGAAAATATTAAATAATACTGAAGGTTGAGTTAACTTTCCTTCTCGGCTGATTAAAATCTGAGTTAAAAGGTCAACATCAATAAATTTGGACCACCAGAAAATGTTAGCATTCCATATTTACATAGCAATAGAAGTTTTCAATCTTCTTTCCTTCTGTAAGGTTGCACCTTATAGTACCAAAGTCGATTAGATCGATGCCATGAATTTCCATTTTAAAATGCCAGAGTCGAAGGGTTAAAGCGATAGGATAAGCACGATCAAATGTTCTGGCGAAATGCATATTTTAATCCTTTTAATGCCTTTGACTTGGGGACTTTTAAGCGAAATTCGTAGCGTCGAACTAATCGACTGGCACTCTTAAGGGTCAAGTCTGAGGAAGACGGTTTATGCCACTTTTATCAGGAATATCGGGGCGTTCAGTAGGGCACAGGGAAGGGAAATGGAAGCAATAACTTAACACAGGTATGCGGAAGAGAGGGAGCAAGGTCTAAGGATGCAAATGACCAAAAAAAAAGCCACAAGAGACTGTTATCGCATTCGGAGGGGAAAGGCAGGCGGTGACGTAATCCCCGTTTCCACTCCCGGGCATCTTTTATTTTTTTTATTTTTTTTTCCGCACACGCACACGCGCCCATCGCATTCACGCACGTGAATGTGCTTCTTTTCCTCCGATATTCGTCCTTCCTTCCCAAACGAAAACGTACAAGGAAAAGCGACGACTTTTGGCCGTTCTTTCGAAACGCGGAAACGTCGAGCTCCAGAGAATCTGATATTCTCATCTCGAATCTTTCGTCATCTGGGTCTCCTCACGTGATGCGGACTCGGTACATACAGGCGATCCACACGGACTGCATTTACGTACCGAGTTAAGATCTCGGGGACCGATCTGCTCTCTTAAGATCTGCTCTCCCCGTGGGAGCGGGACTTTCACACGTGAGGATCGAAGATGGAGGACCCGCGTCCGTGTAATAAATGGGAACATATTCAAATCCAAAGAGAAACCGCACTTTCATTTCCTCGTCCTCGAGGAGAGAGCGAGAAAAAAAAGAGCCATGTGTCGCAAAGGTCGACGAAATCGCTCGTTTCTCAATCCCCCTTTTTTTTCATTTTATATGGGGGAGCAATCTGGTCTGATGGCCGATCCCTTGCTCAAGAACGAGAACGAAGACGCTTTCACTACGGATTCATTCAAGGACAAATGATAATCGACCGGGGTCTTGCTTTTGTCTCGAGGGATCATCC